TCCACCCTGAAAAGTTCCCACTCCCTTTCCAAGAAACTCTATATAAGCCCTCTGTCCTGTTGAGTTTGCTGCTGTTTCTCACCTGAGCAGAGGCAGCCACCTTTCTGGTTTTTTCCCTCCCAGTAAATCTCTTGTGTGAGGTTTGCTGTTATAAGCATTGCAGCTTGATGGAAAGGGATCCTGGCAATCAGGCGCCAAGGAATACCATAAAATCCCTGTAAACATAGCAGCTTATAGCCCTGCTCCAGAGAAAGGTTTCCCCAATGTAACAGCTCTGCTCCAGCAGAGGAAGGTTTTCACAGCAAAAGTGTTATAGTTCTGCTCTGGCAAAAGTTGTTACTTCTCTGCTCTGCTCCATTCCAGCGAAAGAAGGTCTCACCCAAAACCTCATTCAAGAGATTTATTGGGAGAGAAGAATCCAGGAGGGTGGCTGCCTCTGCCAGGGTGGAGAGGCAGTTCCTAACTGAACAGGCACAGGGCTTATATAGGGTTTCTTAGGGGTGGAGTTTTTCCAGGGTGAGGTTTTCAGGGTGGGAATTGGTCAGATTTCAATCCCTGAGTTTGGTCAAGCTCAGAAATTGGCTGGATTTCGTGCTCAGGGATTCATTGGTTTTCCTGCTCAGGGATTGGTTGATTTTCTTGCTGATTTGGTCAGGGCCAGAGTGTGTTTCTTTGGCTCTGGTTTCAGGGCCAAAGTACATTTCTTTCACTGGCCCTTTTTAGCCTTTTGGCTCTGGTTTCAGAGTCACGTGTGTGTTTCTTTAGCTGGCCCTTTTACCCTACATTTATGTGGTGTGACTTTGTGGTATTCCTTGGCTCCTGACTGCCAGGAGCTAACTGTTCCCTTCTATCCAAGCTCTAATACTTACAAAAAGGATACAAATCCCATCCAACAAAAGGAAAACCATTCCGGTACTGGACACCTAGCTAGTGCTAATGAAATCATGGTTATTGGAGAAGAATCTACAACCACTAATTTGTTAAACCAGCATGAATACCTAACAACAATTTATAAACATTTAGCTTGATACCCATGTGTATGTGTGGTTTCACCCCGATCAGCAAAACTTCTTTTGGCAACAGATGGAGTCCACCACAGAAAACCATAACCAATCAAAATGCCAAATTGTAGGGCCCAGCACCAATGAATCCATCTACAAAACAATCCACATATAAGGCTCAGGGAGTATTGGAGAAGATGGGGTGGAAAGATGATAAGAGCCAGAAGATCAGGGAGTTTTCTGTGACAGTATGTCTCCTCGGTAACATCAGAAGCTATACCATAATGACTCACCAAGATGACCGCCCAAAAGTGAGTGGGACAAGGATGACACCAATGGACATGTCAAACTAGGCAGGGAAAAGTCCACGAGGTCTCAACCCTACACAACGAACTATGGGCAACCGAGGAAAGCTAGAAACAAGACAGGTGATCTTGAAAGACCAGGAAAGAGCACACTGCTGTCCAGTGCCAAACGAGCAGCCCTGAAAATACTCAAGTAACATCATCTGGACTGAACAGATTATATTTAGGAATATGTATGTGTATTCCTACATGTGTACACTAACAATTAGTGAAAAAAAGTGGCCATGAACTTAAATGAGGACAGAGAAGGGATATAGGATGGTTTCAAGGGAGGAAAGAGAGGAGAGAAATTATATCATAATCCCAAAAAAATTAAAAAAAATACAAAAGAGACTGAATAAAGTTTTGGTCACACAAAACCCAAGGTTACTCACCTTGGGACTATATTTGTACACGTCCTGAGGATGCTACCATGTTCTAGGGACCTTGAAACAGGAATTAAAAAATAGTCATACTTGTGTTCCTATCACTACCCCTAACTCTTAGCATCAGGTTTACAGTGGTGATTCAGTAAGTACATGATGAATTGAATATGGATTTGTATAATTTACTATATAAAATGTTGTGAAGACTTCTTTGCACCTATATTTTAAGTAGTCCTAAAACAGAACAAGGTATCAATTTTGGGCAAGCGAATCAAAATAAAGGATTTTATTATTTTTTATTAATTAGCATATGTTATTGTAGTGCTGGGGTCTGAACCCAGGATTTTCCACATCAGGCAGGTGCTACACCTCTTGTTCAATATACCCGAGTACTCTAACCTCGGCTCTCCTTTCACTTGTTTTGACACAGAATCTCACCAAGTTACCCAGGCTGAGCTTGAACTTTCACCTTCCTGCCTCAGCCTTCTGGGTAGCAGGGCATCACAGGCTGTGCCACTTAGACCCCATTAGATTGGAGATATTTTCTTTACCCTTAGTTTTGGTCTGTTTTGGAGAAAGTAAGCTGTGGTGATATTTTATTTGTATGTTAATAAATAAAGCATGCCTGGAGATCAGAGGAAATGGCCAGCTATTCTTAAGTAAACATAGAAGTCAGGTGATGGTAGCACATGCCCTTAATCCGATAACATGGCAGTGTGTCAAGGACACACTAGGGAACAGCCAAGCATGGTGACACACACTTTAATCCCAGTATCAACCATAGAGACCTGGAGGTCTGTACAGACAGGCAATGACAAGGAAGTGAGGTAGCTGGGCTAAAAGCCAATGAAAGGGTGGAACAGCAAGGGAATAAAGGCATGGGTAAGACAGGAAGTAGTCCCTTTTCTGGTAGATGCAGAGCTAGAGAGGTAAGGTTGGTGGCTATCAATATTTCCCTGATCTCTAAGGCTTTCACCCCTATATTTGGCTCTGTGTTTCTTATTTAATAAGACTGTTTAGAAATTCATCTACAGTAAGCATTTGCTATAGATACCTCCTTTTCTCTTAGTGTTAACTTCAAAGACTAGGGACAAAGTTACAAAAGGATTTTAGAACCAATATTAATTGTATGGCAGAAAAAAATAGAATGTAATGGATTTAATGGTTTTACAATATAATATGTAAGTCTGTACTTAAAACATTAGAAACTCATGTCAATAACTAAAGGAATACAGTAACATGCCATACTTCAAAGTATATTATTTCTGTAAGCTTAAATGTAATCCACTCTTTTCCTTAAAAACAAAAAATTCAGATAAGAGTGTCATGTAGCCCAGATAGCCCTGGAACTCATTATATAGTTGGCTTTTAACTCTTTATCCTCTGCCACCGACTCCTCAGTGCTGAGATTATAGGCATTCACCACCACTCCTGGCTTTGTTCTTATTTCTATAACCTCCCTTTGTTGTGTGTCTCTGAAATCAAATGTATTGATGAAATAAAGGCAATAAGTTAAAGAAATGTATACAAGATTGGATTTAAAAATACTCTAAGTTGGGGATGGGGAATGACCCAGTAGATTAAGCATTTGCCTCTCAAATGTGAGGACCAGAATCAGGATGCCCAGAACTCAAGAGAAAACCTAACATGCCTGTTGGGCACCTGTAACCCTGCCCAGACTCTAAAGACAGAGATGGGGATCTCCAGGGTATGCTGGCTAGCTAGCCTAGCAGGAACTGGGGATGATGTTTCAATAAATGCACTGGGGAGAGATTGAGGAAGACACCTACCATCAACTTTGGGCTATTACATGCATGTCACACTTGTAAACATGCATACAAACATGCAATCACAGCATACACACAAACACATGCAAAAACTGATCCCTACTTGTAAAAAAAAAAATTGATACCTTATTCTTCTGGTTCCTTTTCTTCCTTTCGTGGTAAGAACACACAGTCTCAATTCTTTCATTTTCTCACAGCATTAGAGTCACTAGGATAAATAAGGCTTTGAAAAGTAGGAAGATTTCCCCAAAGCAAGGAAGGAATTCTCAATACTGTGCTCTTGCAAGTCCCGTTAGCAAAGTGTAAAGAGACTTTCTTTGGAGACCAACAGGTAACAGTGCTCTCTGTAAAGCCAAATCTCTGATGGCAAGTCTTGGATTGCAGGTAACATTGGTACTCAAAATACTTACAATCTGTCTACAAATAATACAAAGCACAATTTAAGAACTGCTGCACAAAGACAATTGTATTTATTTTTAAACACTGAAAATTTTCCTGTTAATGTGGTGCTGTCTAATTTTCATTAGACATCATTAGTGGTATCTTTGCCATCAAGTTGTGAATTTACACGTTCCTCTTCTAGGAACACTAGAGTGTATTTTGTTTGAATAACCTCCATTAGAAGCAGTGAAATGTGATCTGAAGATGACGTGAGGGGAGTGTGGCTATGCATGCCTGTGGTCTCAGAACTTGAGAGGCTTAGACAGGAGGATCAGAGGTTTGAAACCACCCTGAACTACACAGTGACTTCTAGTACACCGTGAGTCAAGTAAATGGGAGAAGGGGGCAGGAAGGGAGGGTGGAAAACACGACTGCACAATTTAGGTCAGTGTGCGTGTGTGTGTGTGTGTGTGTGGGGGGGGCTGCTTTACGCTCTGCCTCAAAAAAAGAAAAAGGGTAAAAGCAAAATAGTGAGGGCTTTTGGAAACAATGTAAATTTGGCCATCTCAAATGCAATTTTGAAAACTCTAGTAATAAAAAACAAAAGATAAACCTCTTAAGCATTATGATAGTGTATTGTAAGATCCATGAAAGCAATAATGGCGATGGGAATACCAAGAACTGTAAAACTATCATCTACTTGGGCTTCAGAGATGGGAATACCGGGAGGAACTGAAAACCGCCCAGAGAAAGGTCGTGTTAGCAGCAACACGAATATGCCTCTAGTGCTCTTCCGACCAAACCCCTCCCCCAAGCCCTTCCGCGGCGTCGGCTTTAGCCGGAAGGTCTTAGGCCTTGGGTGTGCACACAGATCTTCTGAGGATGGTTCCTGTCAGCGCTCTGGAACCTTTTTTCACCTTCTCTGCGCCCCCCGGGTCCCCGCGGCCACGCCCACCTCCTGACTCTGCCGGGCCACGCCCCCTCAGACTCCCCGCCCCTTTCCAAGGCCCCGGAGCCCCGAGGCTCCGCCCTCCGACGCCGCGGAACCCCTCCCACGGAAACGCTCCGGAAACGCCTCAGCGGACGCCGGCACGTGATCGCGACGTCACGCGCGCGCCTCCGGTCTGGGCCGCGGGCTCCTCGGGGTCGCGGTCGCGCGTGGCCGCGGTCTCCTGGCCTGTCGCTGTCGCTGTCGTCGCTGTCTCGGGCCGTGCCAGCCTCCCGGGCTGCACCATGTACCACAGCAGCAGCCAGAAGCGGCACTGGACCTTTGCGAGCGAGGAGCAGCTGGCGCGCCTGCGGGCCGACGCCAACCGCAAATTCAAGTGCAAAGCGGTGGCTAACGGGAAGGTGAGGGCCCCGCGGGCCGGCCCCCGCGCCCGCCCGGGGTGGGCTCTCCTGAAGTCCCCGCTCTGCCTGCGGGCGGGCGGGCAGCGCGGAGCTTGCACCCGGCTGGGGTCGGTGCAGACCGACGCGGGACTGGCCGTGACGGAGGCACGAGTAACATCCTGGGCAAGGGCCAAAAAGCCTTCGGTGGGGTGCGGAGTCAGTGCGGGACTCGAACTGGTCTCTTGTCCTGCAGGATGTCAGGGCAAACCTTTCTCGGCGGTTGGCAAGAGGGGCAGAGGATGGCAGACAGCCGCCGGGGCCAAGGGGGCGGTCAGCATCACAGGCAGGTTCGGGGAGTGCCCGTGGTCGTTGGTGGGCGAAGCTGTGCCTGTGCAGCAGTGGTTGAAGAACGTCGGTAGGCGAGGGACTTGGAAACGGAAGCGTAGGGCTGCAGCTCACGACGAAACTGAAGGGAGCTTTTTCCAGGACTTGAAATGGGGAAATGGTGGCCTGTTGGATCTACTTTCCATAAACAGCCTTCACGTGGAAGGTTGACACAAGCCAGTTTGAGCATGGTTTGGTCGGTGGCCCTCTCTCCAGGTCTTCTTACAGCTCCACCACCCATTTCTGTTGTACGGACCTGTGGCGACTTTATACTTGCCTCTTTGCACTTTTCGAAACAACGAAGTACCAAATATTTTGAGTCATTTGATGCTGTTTTCTTAAATTTGGGTGACCCAGTGATTCACTGAGAAAGGGAATTTGGGGTATTTCCAACCAGTGAAAAATAGTATCGATTTACAAATAATGGTATCAAACCTGGGAGCATATTGGCACATGCTCTGTCATGATTGTTTAAAAATGTCCAACTTGCTGGGCGGCGGCGGCGGCGGTGGCGGCGCCGCTGCTAGGGAGGCTGAGGCAGGCGGATCTCTGTGAGCTCGAGACCAGCCTGGTCTACAGAGTGAGTTCCAGGACAGCCAGGACTACACAGAGAAACCTTGTTTCGGAAAAACAAACAAAATGTCCAACTGAGAGATGATGATTTAGATTCAGTTTATTTATTTTGCTTATTTTCTAAGATATTTTGTGTAATGCTTAAAAAACCTACAAAGAGAAAATGATGTGAGATATTTTCCCTTTGTTGAAGATATAAATCAAATTTAAGCAGGATGGAGAAAACAGTTTTAATTCACCGAACTTACATTGAAATGTTCGCTCTGTTTAAAGGTTCTTCCAAATGATCCAGTGTTTCTTGAGCCTTATGAAGAAATGACACTTTGCAAATACTATGAGAAAAGATTATTGGAATTCTGTTCGGTGTTTAAGCCAGCAATGCCACGCTCTGTTGTGGTAAGTCATGCTAGTGAAGTATAATGCCTTTCAGCAGGCTTGTGAGAGCTGAACTCTTCAAAATTTCTAACTAAATTCTCTCTTCAATCTAGAAGACTCACCTTAGTTGTATTAGTTTATTTTTGTCACATTTTTTTCAAAGAGCAAAATTTTATTTATGTTGGAGCTATCCTTTAGGTTAGAATAGTCTTAACTATAGATCTAAATAGGCCCCAAACTACATAACAGGAAAAAAAAAAAAAACCAAAAAACTCTAGTAGTTTATTTCTTCTCATAGTGTGGTCCAGTACGGGCCATCTCATCTCATCAGAAAGTGGCTCTTTAGTCGTGACTGGAATCTCAGGCACCCGCCTCTTGTGACTCTAGCGTCGCCTCACCTAGCAATCCTCTGCTTCTGGGTGGACAAGAGTGAACTGTGGAGAAGGCATATCCACTGTTTGAACCCTGGGCTCAAAAATGACAGACATTCCACTCATTCTGTCAACCACAACAGACGGAAGTAAGGCTGAGAAATGTGGCTTTTGCCTAGATGCTTATTTCCCTGTGTCAAAGCATGAATTCTAGTGGATAGTTAGCTACTACTCCCCGTGTCAAAGCATGAATTCTAGTGGATAGTTAGCTACTACAAGGATCTTCAATGAGAGTTGTATAGGAATCAGCTGTAGGTTTTTTTGAAATATTGATATAGTCATACATGTATCAATATGAGTGAGAAAAACTAATCTTTGAGATTTTTAAATAAAGGCCTTAAATCACAAGTTGCTATATTTTGTGAATAAGGGCATCTCCGATGTCATTTCATAGTCTGCTGTACAGTTTGTGACATCTTCATTTTTTGGAAAAAGAAAAATCATTTTTCTTCTCACATTCTTTACTAGAGAACAGCAGAATTGGGACTAAAGTATAAACAGGTGCTTTTTCAATTCTGCTAAACTCAGTTCCTGTTTGAAATCATCCATTATGTTCTAGCTGCAACTCCTGCCATAAGATCTTTTGAAACTTCTATTAGAAGTTGTTTGAGGTTTATCTTTGGTTTTATTAGTGTTTTCTTGGTGGTTCTGTTTGTTTGTTTTGTTTTCTTGGAGATGGCCTACAAGTCACGTTGGCCTTGAGTTCCTTATGTTCCAGACGATGACCTTGAACTTGTGATTCTAATGCCTCAACATCTAATGCTGGGATTGTAGGCACTGCAAATCTGGTTTAGTACTGGGGCTCAAACCCAAGGGTGCATGCATCCCTGGCAGGAACACTATTAACTGAGCAATATCCCAGGCTTAAATGTCTCAGGATTAGTTCATATGTTCTTAGTGTTGTGTTTCCACTAGGGGTGGACAGTGGTGAGAAGGAATAGGTAACTGGTATTAAAAAGCTGAACAGCAAAGAAAAAAGCTGGTGTTAAGGCTATGTAAAGCACCTTTACCTTGCTTATTATTCTCATGGCTGGTTAGCTGTAAAGGTCAAGAATGAAAGGCTGTTTTTAAAGTTAGTGATTTATGACCCAATAGAGAAGAACTGTGTAGGTGGAAGAACATTGAAAATATTAAATACACATGTGTTTATGGATCATTTTTAAGTTGCAGACTTATCTGAGAGATGAAACAGTCATAAACAGTATCAGATACAGTTGATTAGTTTCTATGATGAAATTTGAGTTTGTCTTTTTCATTATAGGTGCTCTAGAATGAGGTGGTAGGATTAAATTATCTCTTTGGGTCAAGCAATTCTTGAATGAACTTTTATGGAATTTATCTATACAATAGATACAATTTTGTTGTTTAACATAAATTGACAGCAAATTTTTAAGCATTTAAATGAAGGATTTTTCCTGTTATCAAATAATAAATGGTTATTTTATTGTTTCGTCAAATGATATAACAGTTGAAACTACAGGTAGTTCTTAGTCGAGTATAGCCTCTGACCCTTGACAGTTGTCTGAATAAATCAGAGAACTTGTGATACTTTTTCTTTTTCCATGGAGATAGCAATAGTTTACTAATGTATTATAAGGATTGGAATAGATTGATACTTTAGAGCTTGGCACAGTGAGGCTTATTTATTGAATGGGATGTATTCAGGTAATGTGAGGTGCTGCAGTTTGGCAGCCCTCATCATGGTACATCACAGATCTGGAGTTGACAGAGAAAAGGCTTTTTGCTCCAATCGTCTTATTGTGTTAGCATTTTTCCAAGATTGGGTAACCTGTGATCACTGTTATTTTAATCCTTAAATTTTTTAGATTTTAAGTATTCATGTTGTTCTGAATTCTAACATAAATAAACACTGTTAAATTCAGTGACTGCAGAAAGTATTACTCCATGTAGACTGGAGACAAATAGCTGAAAAATGAAAGAGGCTTTTTTGATTATGGTGTTTTTGTTGTACTTTATCACAGTTTATTTTGACTTATGCAAAATTCAAAAGTATTGGTATGGAGAACCTTTTCAAGGAAAACTGTGCATGAATAAGTTATTTTTTTCAAAATGTAACATGTAACATGCAAGTAGATCCTGCTTTTATAGATGTGTATTTTTTTCTTTTAATCTTAGGGTACAGCTTGTATGTATTTCAAGCGTTTTTATCTTAATAATTCAGTAATGGAATATCACCCCCGGATAATAATGTGAGTATAAGTTTGTCTTTTCGTTTACATTGAAGATGTTTATAATGTGTGGACATTTGTCCGTGGGATGTATATGTTATTGACTTCTTAATTAAGAACAATTTAGACTTGAATTTTTTTTCCCTATTTGAGTATAAGATTTCCTTACTTGCCGTTATCTTCTATATTGATAATGGCATCTGAGCTGCAACTTGTCTGCCATTCACAAAGTTTTCCTTAAACCTAGGTATTTTACCAATACCGCCGTCAGTGACATCTTTATTCTCCCAATTCCTCAGACTAACAACCATTTGTGGTAATTACTTTCTCTCTACTCCCATCAGTTTACAAATCCTGTAGCTTTGTATTAATTTTGGTTAAACAAAGGTGTATTTTGTTGTTTTCCTCTTTGCTAAGCATTACGCTTATTGTTAAAGATGAGGACAGAATTAATATAGGACTCATCACAGAGTTTGCTGTCATTCTTGTTTCTGTTTCTGTTTTTCCCATTCCATTCTCACCAGTCAGGGTTAGGCCTTTATTATGACTTCAGCTTCTAAAAGCTATGAGCAGTAGCCTTCCTACTAGTTCCCTCTCTGAACTTAATTTAGTACTCAGGTGAATTTCCTGCTTGTCCATAAGCTGGTAACTCTACTCAAGTAACTTGAGACTTCTACTGATGACCTGCAATCTTAATTATCTTTGCCTGTCTTCTTTGGTCACAAGGTACATACATTTCTACTACTCTGTTTTTAATTTTATATTGATACACACTACTTTTATTCCTTAGTTATTTTTTTTTCCAAGTTTCTAGCTGGACTATATGAAGCTACCAGTAAGTTAATGATGGCTAAATGCTGTAGCAGCATTAGGTGATGGCTCTACCTAAGTCTCCCAATGGACAAAAGTTTGAAGAGGAGCTCATTTTAATTTATATTCGTTTTTTTAAATTCACTGCAGTGTCTATCATAGTCACGTGTAAATATTAAGCAATTTACAAAGTACTTTAAAGAAGACTTAGGTTTTTCTGCCCTCTGTTATTTCTTCATGTAGGCTCACTTGTGCATTTCTAGCCTGCAAAGTAGATGAATTCAATGTGTCTAGTCCTCAGTTTGTTGGAAATCTTCGAGAGAGTCCCCTTGGACAGGAGAAGGCACTGGAACAGATTTTGGAATATGAACTACTACTTATACAGCAGCTTAATTTTCACCTTATCGTCCACAATCCTTATCGACCATTTGAAGGCTTTCTCATTGATATAAAGGTAAACTTCCTGATAAGAAATTAGTTAATAAGCCGGGCAGTGGTGGCGCACGCCTTTAATCCCAGCACTCGGGAGGCAGAGCCAGGCGGATCTCTGTGAGTTCGAGGCCAGCCTGGTCTCCAAAGCGAGTTCCAGGAAAGGCGCAAAGCTACACAGAGAAACCCTGTCTCGAAAAACCAAAAAAAAAAAAAAAGAAATTATACTCCTTTGTTTTTGTTTGCTTAAAAGAATTGAAAACTCTATAACCAACCAGTAATATCCGAAATGGTACAACATAGGTGCAACCTGAGAGTCTGTGCTGGCTCTTCTAAGGTAATAGTTTTCAAACTTTAATGTGCATTAGAGTCCACCTGAGGAGTTTGTTATCTTAGATTGTTAGATAAGAATTTCCAGGTTTCTGGTTTAGTAGTAGATTGTGAGTTTATAGTAATGCTCTTAAATAATTATGGTAACTCTTCTAATTGATATATATTGTCATAGATCTGGGCCTAGAGATTTACAGAACCTTATAAAGTTCTTAATATTAAACTAAAAGATAAATGGCTTCTATTTTTAATGTTTTATGAACTCAGGTCACAAATATAACCAAAATTATAAGTAAATGGCTGACACCTGTAGTCTTAGGTCCTCAGGAAGTTTAGGCTGAAGGATCACTTGAACCTGGAAATTTGAGACTAGTGTAGCAATATAGTGATACTGCATCACAAAACATGTAACACAAATATGTACATGTATATTTATGTATTTACATGTGCAACATTGATACATATGTAAGTATTGACATCGTCAAGTTAAGTTGTTGAATAGTCTAAGTAAAGTGGAAGAGAAGTCAAGAACTGATTCATCTCAGTTAAGCAGCTATGGGTATTTGGTTTATGCTAAACACGTTTGAGGGTGCAGCCTAAAAACGAGACAGGACATGACAACTTTCAGAGACCTTGCAGTTTAATGTTTTTTTGATAACTACTTATTAGTGTGCTAAATTTTATAGAGGGAAATATACTATATATGAAGATGGCAGATTGAAAGGCAAGGAAGACATAACTTAGAAAGCATCACTTGAAGTGAAATTCAAATCAAGAGTAGGAATTAGATACACAAAGAACATCCCACCCAGAGACCTTCCTAGTTGAGAGCTCAGATCCACAGCTGACATAAGAAGTGAAGAGCTGAGGATAGAGGGGGAGAGTGTTGTGGTTTAAATGAAAAGCAGAAGTCTAGACTATATAGGTAGTGTTGAAGACTTTGAACAAAGGATAAAGAAGAGAGTGAAAGTCGTGTTTAGAGAATCAGGTGTGATTGGGTTTGCAATGTGAAGAAAGTGGTGTGTTGACCGCCTCACAGGTTAATGTGCATCTGTATTAGTCAGGGTTCTCAACAGTAACAGAACCTTTCTCTAGAGAGAAAAAGGGGTTTATTAGAATGACCTGCAGGCTGTGTGGTCCAGCTAATCCAACAATGGCTGCCTATGAACAGAAGGTTCAAGAATCCAGTAGTTGTTCAGTCCATGAAGCTGGATGTCTCAGCTGATCCTCAGTATATGCCAGAATGCCAACGAAGTAGGCTCTAATGCCAGTGAAGGAATGGACTTGTTAGCAAGACGGGCAAGCAGGGAAAAAGAGAGGCTTCCTTATTCCATGTCCTTATAGGCTTCCAGCAGGTGTGACACAGGTTAAAGGTGGATTTTTCCACCTTAAAAGATCTGGATTAAAGGTGTAGTCTTCCTACCTCAAAGATCTGGATTAGAAGGGGATCTTCCCACTTCAAATGATTTTAATTAAGCAAAAATTCCTCACAGGTGTGCCCAGCCATTTTTGGGTTTCAGTTAATTCCAGATGTAGTCAAATTGACAACCAAAATAGCCATCACAGCATCAGATGAGATTGAACATCTGTATATGTCCTACATTATGAAGAGAGTGGATCAGAATGGGCAAAGGGATAATGGTGAGGACTGGCCATGAGAAACATTAAAAGGGTAGTTGAGCAATGGAGAAACTTGTAAGGGGACTCATTGATCCAGAGTTGTAGGATTTGTTGGGAAAACAAAAGGGAGTAGAGTACTCTTTTGTAAGAAAGCATAACAACTTTCTAATTCTGCTCGGATCAGGTAAAGAAAAAGTAGATTAATAATATTTGCTGAATTTAGTGCCAGAAAGGTCATTTATGATTTTGTTGAAATTTGTCTTTGAAATGTAGAAGACGGAAAAAAAAAAAGATTGGTGGTTTTGGAGGAATAAATTGAAAGAGAACAGGCTTTAGAGATGGCTCACGAGTTAATAGTGCTGACTACTCTTCCAGACTTAACAGGGTTCAGTTCCCAGCACTCACATGGCAGCTCATGATTGCCTGTAAGTCCAGTTCCAAGGGATCCAGTGCCTTCTGTCCCTTTTGAGCACCAGGCATGCATGTACTGTACAGACATACATGCATATATGCAGGCATACCCATATACATCCTGTACATAAAAGTAAATAAAATTAAAAAAATAAATAAATAAACAAAAGAAAGGAAGGAGAGCCCCAGAATTCAGAATTGTATCTGGCCAACTTGGGCTACATAGTAAGATCCTGTCCAGAAAGAGGGGGAAAATCAAGTGTGTTTCTTATAATTTTTCCTTAGTGAGTGGATACATTCAGAGATAGTAGATGAATTTGACATTGTGTGAATTATATCACCATCTTCCATCTTTATATATTGTCCTTGGCTAAGTGTTACCATGCATGGAACTGTCATATGTTCTCATAACAGTGGCTCTGTTAGTCGATTATGGACCCACCTAAGGTTTTATAATCAAACTTTTTGTTAGTTAAGTACAAGAAATATGCTCCAAAATAATAATTAAAAAATATATAGTGCAGCAGTAACATAGTTGCTTATCATTTTTCAAAATTCTGCAGTGTACATACTTGTCTCTTAAGCTGAACCATAGGCTTGTTTGCACAAGTATCAATACAAGCATACTTGTGATGGTTGTGAAATCACTAAATGATGGGAAATGTTCAGCTACATTAGAACCTTGTAGAACTCATGTCTGTTATTTATTACTGGTAGAAAAATTGTTTTGTAGCATAGAACTTATATACATAACTTAAACAGTTTCTCTGAAGTGGAAAGAGGTAAGATGGAGGAAGTGCAGAATGTAGAAGTGTTCAGTTTTGCAGGAGAGAGAGTCACAAGTTTAAATACTGGCCCAAGGAGCTGGTAATGAGAAAGAGATTAAAGGGGAAACAGACCATACAGCATAGCTATGGATTCTCTATGAACAATATACAGCAGGTTAGCATGGGGTTTGAAATAGGTACATTTGGCCTTAGAGAGAGGACAAGCTCTTGTGCTGACCCAAGACAGAGGGAGTGTCTGGATGGAGAAGCTGTTGTATCTGGAGATTTGGTGGAGATGGTGCTTTTCCTTCTTAAGTGCAGAGATAATGTTCCACAGAATGATAGTTTGAGGCTTAGTAAAGACATAAAGGTAGAAAATATTGACTGTCATCACTGACAAATGGAAGAACAAATTTTCTAGGAAAACATTATGTAAGTGGTAGACAGAGCTGAGAGACATACCAAGATGAGTGAATTTGAATTTATAGTAGTATCTCAAGACCTCTTTTGTAGATTTTTCTGGCAGTGCCCAGAAATTGAAAGTATTGAAATTAGATTCAGATACTGTTGAAATTGGGGCTGGAGAGATTGATCATCAGTTAAAAGTACTTGCTGTCCTTCCAGAGGAACTGAGCTCGGTTCCTGGCACCCACATCTGCTGGTTCAAAATTGCATGTAAATCCAGCTGCAGGAGATCCAACGCTCTTCTGTTTCTTTGGGTACTGTGCACATGACGTACACTAACACAAACACATATACATAAATAAAAATCTTAAAAAGTACAGGAAAGAAATGATTGAAGACTTTGCTAAGTGGGGTCAGGTAGAAGGATTCATAACCAAATGGTCTAAGATTTACAAGAAAAGCATGAAAAAATTAAGCAAAGTCCTGAGAAAGGGAGACATCTGCAGTCAGAATGAATGGTTACATTTATTATTTCAGGGTCAGACATTTGGGGACAATGACTAGGCCTATATGTGGCTCCACATTTGAACCTGATATTTTGTTTCAGAATATTTATAGATTGTCTTACTGCTTCAGGACTTGACTAGAAGTATCTGAAGTCAGTCTGAGGGATTGAGACAAGTAATTGACAGGCAGTGTGAGGTCTTCCTGGTTTCATGGGCATAGTTTAAAAACATTTCTGTAGGTATTTCAGAAGGCTGATTGATTGATTCATTTCCATTTATTTTCCCCCACAATATACATGAGAACAAATCCCCTATAACAGTGATGTACAGTTGTAGCCAGAGGCTTTTCTCTGTCCTGCTCCCATCCCCCGGCCGCTTGTAAATAATCACTCACAGGCTTAATATTAATTATAAACTGTTTGGCCTATTGCTCAGGCTTACTACTAACTAGCTCTTACTTCTAAATAAACCCATTTCTATTGATCTATGTATTGCCATGTGACCTGTGGCTTACTGATAATGCTCTGGCATCTTACCCCTCTGGCAGTTGCTGGTATCTCTCCTGATTTCTCCCTGTATCTCTGCTTGGATTCCTTGCCTGGCTCCATCCTGCCTTGCCATAGGCCAAAGCAGCTTCATTTATGAACTAACGGGAACGACACACATTCACAGCGTACAGAAGGACATACCACATCATTTCTCCTTTTCTGTTTAATCAAAAAGAAGGTTTTAACTTTAACATAGTAAAATTACATATAATAAAACAGGTATCAAGCAAGAATTACAGTTACAATATTTAGTCATTTGTATTTGACAAAATTAAAATACTCTATCCTATCTTTGTGAGTCTAAAGTTTCATATCTAATTTATTTTATATCATAACTAAGGAAAACTATAATTATAACTATCTAGTCTTCACCTCCATCAAAGACCCCAGAAGGATGTAATATTACCTGAGTAAACAGGAAGTGCATTATAAGCAACTTCCAAAACTCTAGAAATGACAGAGACATCTGGCTGCCTGGACAGTCACCCAAAGTTCTGTAAAAATTGGGACATCCATCTTCAGCCTACAGGCCTAGAGTCTCTGGCAGATTTCTCAGTGAAGCAGGAAATTTGAAGGACCGTCGTGCCTATTTTGGCAAAATTCATCAGTGGCTTTCTTCTGTGTCCTGCAGAACGTCTGACAGATTCTTTCACGAAGCAGGAACCCTGAAGGACCGTCCCACCTTGTTTTGGCAAGTTTAGCAGTCATTTTCCTGTGGGTCCTGTATGTTCAGTTTATACAGCATACTTTCAAGCAGTCCAGGCAAGAGCAATTTCTTGCCCAAATGGCTAACTTTTGCCGTAATGAAAGCAGACTACGTGTGGAGTGTCTTTGATGCCCTTCATCTTCTCTGATGTAATTGGTACTGCCAGGAGCAGACATGTCTCACTGTCCAGAAAAGTCTAAGTTTTTAGAACATTTTAAATGCCGTGTTCTATATGTCTTCGAAGTGTTTGAAGATTATTTGCCTAATATAAATATATCTTTGCATATCTAGAAAATGTAACATGGCTATAAGTTTGATTATTATAGATGACTATTAATTTGTATTTCTTAACTATACATTACATTTTTAAATGAGCTGCATAAACATACCTTAAATAAGAGTAGAAATACACATATAATATAACAAAATTGACCTTAAATTTGTATCAATAAACTAAAATCCATATCAGTGTAAAGTATTTTGAGATTAATAGTTGTTTTTTGGATTAAAGTTGATTCAGTAATCTACCTTTTTTTATTATCATAATAATTTAGCCTTTTCCCCGTCATTTATATATCTTATCCCCCTTTTTTCTTTAGAAAGAGACTATGACCATTAACCATTTATAACCAACCCCCTTTAAATGAAAACAAACATTCATAAACAGTATTTTGGGAATTTGAACATAGTTTTCTATACTACTTCCTGCTGATTGGGGGCACTGGTGATCTTATGGGGATCCTGAGAAAATTTAGAATTACGGTCAAGTCCTGACTGGGGTATTTTGTGTGGTTGGTCCATCTCAGCCAGTAGCCTTGAAGCTTTTGTGGATGTTGGATCACCTTCTTGGGTCTCTGATGGAGTTGAAGACTTTATAGTTATAGTTTTCCTTGTTACCAGATTCAGAAAGAAATGCACTAAAGAGGTGTAAAGTATATATGGTAGAGAGACATTAAAAGAGAGTTTTGGTGATGCAAGTTAAAATAGTAAGTGAATTAGATACACCCTTTTGGACTCACCAAATAGGATAGATAATGGAGTATTTTCTCTGAATTTGTCAAATGTTTATGGACTAGACATTGTTGATGTAATTATTGCCTGTATATATTATATATAATTATTGTACTTATTCTCTATAGTTTTTCTTATATTAGTTATAACCTTTTTTAAATTTTAGACAAAAAGGGGAAATAATGATGAAATTTTGTTTGTGCTCTAAATAAAGCTTGCCTGAAGATCAGAGGGTAGATCTAGCCACTAGTTAACCATAGGTCAGGCAGTGGTGGCACACACCTTTAATCTCAGTACTAGGAGGAGGAAACAGAAATTGATATGGCTGGGCAGAGAGAGGAAGTGATAAGGCAAGGTGGAGACAGGAGCTCGGCCCCTTTTCAGGCTGAGGAGTTGGGGAGGTAAGAGGTGGCTGTGGTTTGCTCCTTTGTCTCTCTGATCTTTCAGCATTTACCCTGATATCTGGCTCCAGGTTTTTAATTATTAAGACCAATTAGGATTTACGCTATATACAACAGCTCCTAATTTGACCTTAAAATTGCCTGGATTGCCTGGTTAGTCTTTACCTGAGAGTATATGTCCAATACATCTTGGGTCTGCCTTGACTCCAGTAGAAACTCTAGGAGCCTACCTTTCTAACGTTGAAAAAGACTAAACTGAGAATAATATTAAGTATTACTGTCTTAAAGCATGTGTTCCTGTTTTGTTCATATAAGCATATATTTCTAATTATGGTTCTGGTTCCAAAAACGTTTGAAAGCCATATCAGCGAAATCAATGAAATGTTCAGAATTTGATGTCTATAATTTAGCTACGTTCTATTAATACATACCAAACAATCTAACATTGAAAGATTAGTTTTTGGAACATAGAAAAGGAGTTACTTTTTAAAAATTGTTCTTTATTAAGCCCCTACTAGTTACTGTATATTTTTAATGGTTATTGATCTTCAATAAACTCTCAGAAATGGTAACATCTGTAAACTTTCTTTCTAGACTCGATACCCCATGTTGGAGAATCCAGAGATTTTGAGGAAAACAGCTGATGATTTTCTTAGTAGAATTGCGTTGACAGATGCTTATCTTTTGTACACACCTTCACAAATTGCCCTGACAGCTATTTTATCAAGTGCCTCTAGGGCTGGAATTACTATGGAAAGGTATCGATTTGTTTACTTTAGTTCAAGTTCAAGTTTTACTTCTTAGTAGAGTCTGAATTTTTAAGTAAGGTCTATTAGATGATTGTCTTTGTATTTTTTTTTTTTTTTTTTTTGGTTTTTCGAGACAGGGTTTCTCTGTGTAGCTTTGCGCCTTTCCTGGAACTCGCTTTGGAGACCAGGCTGGCCTCGAACTCACAGAGATCCGCCTGGCTCTGCCTCCCGAGTGCTGGGATTAAAGGCGTGCGCCACCACCGCCCGGCGTCTTTGTATTTATAATGCCTTATGTCAGATAAGTTTCGTTACTGAAGAAATGAAATTGCCTTTATAAAAGTATTTCATCAAGTATTGCTGAGCTACATTTCTGACTTACGTAGAAGTGGAACAGGTAGTTTTGGAAGACAACTATAGCTATATGATATTTACAAGGTCATCAGCTTGTGAATCTGTCAAATGCAGCAAATCTGCTCTGTTGTATCATTCATGTTGTACAGCAATGGTGTGTAGATGTAATGCTTTAGGGAATATCCACTAAGTGGAAGTGGAAGTTGAGCCATAAATAATACTTACTGCATACGTAGAGATTCAGACATTACAATGAGTACTTTATGTGAATTAAATCCACTTGATTTTTTAAATATTATCTTATGCACACATTAATTCTTACCCTTGTAACAGTACTATATGTATATTATCAGGGAGCTGGAAGAACAGCAAGTAAGAAATATTTATTATACTCCAGTTATTTTCTAAATTATACTACTTTTATTGTTTATAATTAATTTCTCTTATGGCTTGAGATTCTTTTATTTTATTTTTATAAATAGCTGAAGAAAAAATTTTCTAAGCTTAAACTAGTTTATATACCTACAGTTTCTAAGTACAGTGATAAGACAGTAACAAACATGAACAGATGTGATTTAGTTTTTGTCCTCTTTCATTGGGAATATTTTTTATTACTACAGAAGTACCAATATTCCTGACTCTTAGATACCATATTTCACATAAGGCAGTATGTGAAAGACCGAGCTAGCTTTTTACACTATGAACAGTTACAAATTTTGAAACACGCCGGGCGGTGGTGGCTCATGCCTTTAATCCCAGCACTCGGGAGGCAGAGCCAGGCGGATCTCTGTGAGTTCGAGGCCAGCCTGGGCTACCAAGTGAGTTCCAGGAAAAGGCGCAAAGCTACACAGAGAAACCCTGTCTCCAAAAACCAAAAAAAAAAAAAACAAATTTTGAAACACATTTGCATCCAGGGTAAGGGACTGTGACCTTAGGCTTTTTTATTTATGATATGTATACCTCTTTTCTCCTACTTACTTTTTTCTCTGTGTACATGTAAATGTATGCCATGTATATAGTGCCCACGAAGACCAGCAGAGGATGTCAGGTTCCCAGAGTTAGTTCAGTAGTCATGAGCTACCAGACACAGGCTCTAGAAACCGAACTTGGGTCTTCTACAAGAGTAGGATGTGCTGGTAACCCTTGAGACGTCTCTGCAGTCCAGTACACCTTTTTTGTTCACACACAACTCTATGTAGGTTTAATCCTATTGTGATTTTTATCCCATCTATTTACTAAGCAAACATTTAGTGAGTTTCTGCTATATTACACTTAAGGAATATAGGAATGAAACCTTGCACTAAGTAGGAAAGACATCCATGTGAATAATTACTTGTCTGGAGTTTAGGTGTGGAGCCTCTGTAAGAGATAGCATATCTGTAATTCTAGCACATAGGAGATGGAAGCAGGAATGTCGGGAGTTAAAGGTCATCCTCAACAGCTATACTGAGTTCTCATTGGGCTACATGAGACCCTGTTTCAAAAAAAAAAAAAAAAGGAATGTAAGGGAGATGACAAAGGTATAACAAGATGGGAATAAGGAAACTAGTTAATATGTAACATAGTTATCAAAGTTTTGTATAAAGTTTAATCTAGGTAGTTTAAAATACTGCAACAATAGTTCTTAAAACTCTTCATTTATAACTAATTTACCTGAGAGAAAAATTACTTTTTATATTTATGTTTGAAAGACCTAGGATTTAAGAATCTTCATTTGGGGTTATAGCACCTATACACCATGTATTGGTGTATAAAATTTCAGGGGAACTAAAATTTAAACAAAGTGTAATTAGGGTTTATAAAACATTCATAGAAAAGTATTAACATATTTGCTTTGGACTTGATAAGATGTGATAGATTTACAAAGCATGAGATGAGATCTTGTTGGTAGACTGCTTGTTAATGCTCAAGTACATCAACAGGTAGGATGGCTGTAGGTAGTTTTTACTGAGGGGAAAGCTGGCAGGTGCCCTATTCCATATCTTCCACCTTTGAGTTTAGTTAGCCTGTCTACAGCTCAGACTCTTCATGAATCAATCACATGAAGTTAGGCTTATGGAATATCTATATCAAACATTTAATATAAAATGATAAATATTGGTCCTTCGTACTGTTGTTACTGTTGTTTATCTCTGAAAGGCTATATATAATGAAATTTAAATAAACTTTGAAGACTACACATCTCTTAAGCTAGCAAAAATGGTAGTAAATCTTTTAGACTATAATAGCTGTAGGTTTTAGTGTTGTGGAGTTTTCTAATATTATGTAATGTTTTTAAATAAGTAATTTAAAAACTGTACTTGATGAAATAAACATGGAGGTGAATAATTTATGTCTTGTCTTTTCAATGTGCTGTGTGCTTTCAATGAGTTAAAATGCCTTTTTTCCCCCCTTCAATAGCTATTTATCAGAGAGTCTAATGCTGAGAGAAAATAGAACTTGCCTGTCACAGTTACTGGATATAATGAAAAGTAAGTGCTATTAACAAAGCTGCTTTCTGAATAAATGTTTTGGTATTTAATGTGCAGTGGTAGATTTCTTTAAATTTACCTTTATTGAATTACTGTGTCAGAATGCATTGAAGATACATTGGTGAGATTAAATAAAAGGTATATGGAAGGAAATAGTTGTTATATGTAAAAGGGAATATGGATATCAGATTTAGAAAAGGCTGAGTCAAAGCAAGGTTCTTTTAAAAGTATCCACAAATATGTGATAGACATTTAGACCTAAGGGAACGAACTTCAAGGTAAGGCTTAGCTTTGCAATCACTGTTTAGTAAATAATTTTAATTATTAATATATGTCATTTGCTGGTCGTTTTGTTACTGATACAAAGCCAGTAATTGTCAAGTGGGGTTGATAGGGATGAAGTGTCAATTTCCGAAGTCATATTGACTGTTACAACTTGGTGTTTGATAAAAATGTAGCTTGTCAGCTGGGCCTGGATTGGGACTTGGTGGTAGAGCTCTTGTCTAGCACGTGCCAGTTCTTGGTTCAGACCCTAGCAACAAAACAAAAAACCCACCACAACAAAAACTGTGAAGAATGCTGCTAAAAAAAAAAAAATGGCCCCTAAAAGGAGGTTCATGTCCATCTGTGGGACCCGTGTCTGTTACCTGAGACTGCAGAAGTTGGAGTTGTGTGGGTTAGTTCATGATAAGATGCTGATGGTGACTTGAGTTACTGAAGTAAGAGTACATGTAGTCACAAGGGTCCTTGTGAACAAAAGGTAGAGAGAAATTTCAGACAGCCATAAAAACAGTGTCAGGACAGCAAAAGAGATGTGCAGTCTTGGCCTTAAAAATTGGAGCAGTCTAACAAAAAACCAAAGCTGGCAGTCATCAGAAATGAACAGGCAGAGTGGATTTCATTAGACCCTCCAGACAGAGTCTGGCTTTCTGCCAATACTTTGATTTTTGGCCCAGGGAAACAGATTTCAGATTCCTGGACTCTAAAGTGTGAGAGAATACATTTGGTTGCTTTGAAACACCAACTCAGTGATAATTTTAATAGTAGCCTTGGGAAACTTAGAAAGACTTTCATAAACACTTATTAAAAACTTATTAGTGCTGGTATTGAGAAATCGTCTTTAGAAATTCTGATTAGAATTTCTGCTTGGTTGATTGGTGCATAACACACACACACAGAGAGACATATGTGACATCTATATCACTAATATGTGTTTTTGAGAATGTAGCCCAGGCTAGACATAAACTTGCAATCTCTTGCCTCAGCTTTGGTAGTGCTGAGATTGTAGGGTGTGCCAGCACACTCAGTTCTTCATAAGTTGTCTGGGCGATTATTTTCATAGCTACTGAGATGTACATTAGAGGTCAGGGCGAATAAACCAGTAAAATACCGGATAGCAGACCTTTACTCAGGTGATAGTAAATGTGTATATATTTTAGTGTTTGTTTATTTTAAAAACTGGGATTCAAGGCATGTGGTTCTTATGCTGTGATGTGATTCTTTGCTTGAAGTAATTTTGAATTTCCTCTGAGCATAATGGAGCAGATGCTTTTTTTCTTTGCATAAGCTGTAGGTCTTCATATTTACCACTAGAGGGCTCACTTCCAATGCTAATTGTGATCTGGTAATCGTTCCTAACAATCTGGTAGTAGAAGGTACATAAGGATAACAATATGTTATTTGAAGCTTAATGTTTAATTCCTGATTTCTCATTATCCTTATTTTGTTCCACTTTTAATATGACACAAGGATAGTGCTTCAGAAAATACTCAGTTTTAATATGAAGGTGTGTGTGTGTGAGTATGTATGTGTGTGTGTATATATATATAATATATATATATATTATATATATATATATTATATATATGGTGGGGGGAGACAAATATTACTCTAAAGATACTGAATCATAAGTACCAATTTCAGGTTTAGTTACCAGTCCGAAGCACATGACCACACAATAAGTCCCTGGACTTACTCATCATGTTTCTAAAAAATCTTGAGATTTTTATTTTGTTTATTATGTTGAATAAAAACATAAGTCAGAGCATATTTTATTACCTTACAATTATTGATCTATAAGTTTTTACCCCCTGAGACAGGGTTTCTCTGTGTAGCTTTGTGCCTTTCCAGGAACTCACTCTGTAGTCCAGGCTGGCCTCGAACTCACAGAGACCCGCCTGCCTGTGGCTCCGGAGTGGTGGGATTAAAGGTGTGTGCCACCACCGCCCGGCTATAATTTGTTTTTAACCTTAGTAAAAGGATATGTTTTTATAGCAGCTGTGTTTTGTTACAGAGGCATCCCTTCTTTTATATGTTTTTTTTTTTTTTTTTTTTTTTTTTTGTGTAAACAAGAGGTATATTCTTGGACCACCGTCTGTTAATGAATATGGCTGGTGGTAGAGAATAAGGAATATTTACTAAATCACATAGAGATTACTTCACAAGCCTTAAATTGAGCAAAATGTAAACACTGGGTACTTAGAAATAAATACTGTAGTATATGACATGCTTACATTTGTGCCATAGGTAATGAAATGAACAGCAGATACCTATCACTTGAACTTAGAAGGCTGGTGCCTCATTTTAATATAGAATGTTAATGTGGAGTACACATCCTGGTAAGAATACATCACCACCAATGTTTTGTTTCCTAAAGCAAGTTAGTTTAGTTTGCTTTCTTTATATGAAAGCATACTTTACTTTATTTATTTATTTATTTATTTGAGACAGGTGTAGCCCTGGCTGTCCTGGAACTCGCTCAATAGACCAGGGTGGCCTTAAACTCAAGAGATCCACCTAACTCTCTCCAGGGTGCAGAGATGAAGACGTGTACCACCACACCCAGATGAAAGCAGACATTATTAAATACTTTTGTATCTCCATGTAGGCATGAGAAACCTAGTAAAAAAGTATGAACCACCCAGGTCTGAAGAAGTTGCTGTTCTGAAACAGAAGTTGGAGCGATGCCATTCTGCTGACCTTGCGCTTAATGTGGTGACGTAAGTAGTTATGTTCTACTACTTTCATAGTTTCTACTGGTTTCATGACCTAAAAGTTATGTTCACAGAGTCATTGAGTTCAACTGTTATTTAAATTACTTTACTGGTACAAAGTGTGTTAATCTTAGGACCTAAATTATAATCAGTTGAGTGTAGTTTTTACTTGTGTTGCAAGTTGATATTTCAATTGAATATACTGGTTTTCCTTGTGTTGGGAGTTGAAGCCAGGGCCTTGTCCATAGGCCAGTGTTCTGCCTGTCCTACATGTGCAGCCTGGCCCGTGTGTTCATTTCTAGTGGGAGCACACACAAGGAAGAAATGTTTGGCTTTCCTCCCACAGTTCTGATTCTGATCATTCCCGTGGATCCTGGCTTGCTTTTCTCTTTATGGAATTACTGAGAGTCAGTCTTCCTATGAGATCCTTAAACTTTTGTTTCTTTACCAACCTGATACTTGGTTTGAGAAACAAGTATACTGTTTTAGACTTAATTTCTATAAACTAGTAAGGAAACTTGGCTCACTTCTGTTTGATGAAACACTGTATCAGAGAACGATAAAATGTACTCTTAGGTTGCTTTGTGTAAATATAAGAGCATATTTAATGTCTCTTAATTTATAGGCTAATGTGGACTTCACCCTAAAAAATCTATGTTATGCTCTGTATAAAAGATCTACCGAAACTTAATTTTTAAGATGTAATGGAAGTAAAAGAATTTGTTTTCTGTGGACTGACTCTACAGTTCTATTATTTATTAACATGTAATGAGAATTAGATATGGCATATATGTATGTATGTATGTATGTGGTATTTTGATATCTATGATTAGTGAAGAAATAATAACAAGCATGTATGGAAAACTGAAGAGTATACCGAGGCCTTCAGCGCAAGGCCGCTATGCCTTAATTCCTTAACTGTAGTTGTAGTAGAGAACTGCTCAATGGCTGTACAAAGTGCAAATTGTCAGACTGTTGTTTTGAAGCTGTGGCTTCAAAGCATGGCTTTGTGTAAGTCTTGAAATTGGTAGGTTTCAGTAGTAACCAATATCAGAAAGCTATAGAGGAAGTTAACCTATTAGTGAATAAAAGTTTTGTAGCACTTAACTGTGTTCTTACGTTGATTCTGAAATGTGCAAACGAGGCCCTACACCCACCAATCTAGCCCCTACCTGTTTTGTCTAGAAGTAGTTACTAGAACATAGAATGCCCATTATTTATGTACTTATTGTGTCTGTTTCATTCTATGGCAGAAAAGTTAAGTAGCTGTGGCAGAAACTCAGTGTGTGGGTCTCCCTCCTCCTCGGGCATCCTTGGCCACCAGTCCACGAGGGAGGAGGGAACAGAAGCAGGGAGCAGGGTTCAGATGGCTGTGAACATGAACCGAAGTAGCCTTCAGGGTTACAGCTCACCTTTATTCCAGAGTAGGGGGAGAGAGGATGGGAAGTGCAGCTGGGGCATCACCTCATTTGTGTTTGGCAGCATGCTCCTATCAAACAGCAGTAACATACCCAGTTATCTTATGGGCAGCAGGCAGAGAGTGTCTGCAGGGATCTGTGTCAGCGGTCACTTTGAGATGGGCCAGGCTAAGTCTAGAGACTATCCAGGGAAGGAGGAAGCCCTGCTGGAAAGGGAGTCCTCCATTTTGCGCCGAGCCCAGAGAGGTATCTGGACATGGTGGACTGCAGCCATACGTTCAGGGTACTCCACCATGTGTGGACTGCAAACCCTGAAGTACTTACTAATTTGTCCTCCTAGTTGGACCACTCAACTATTAAGTCTGTTCTGGTTAATAATGGAATAGGTCATAATCCAAAATTCCTAACTGACAGTTTATATTTTATTCCAAGCTGCCATTTGCTTTGCATTCTGCCAAGGAAAGTCTACATTCCTGTGAAAGTGTCTTGAATACATTTCTTTGTGTAGGAAGGACTTTTAAAAAAAAATTACAGACATAGATTTTTATAAAATACAACCAAAGTTTCTACAAAGTAAAACAGACTTAAAAATACAAGTTCAAATTTTATTAGATTCAGTGGTCAGTTAGTCTATCAAATTGCTGTATAGTTAGTTTCTAAGTACACAGTGTCTGTTCTGCTCATCTCAGTGCAGGCTGGAACAGTTCATGAACAGCACCAAGTAGCATGACCTCAGCACAAAAAGCATTTGTTTTCCTTGATCATTAAAATGTTTGCCTTTAGTTTTCACTATACAGTAACTGTATTCTTCTGTCACTCGTTGAATAAAAGCCAAAGTTCCCTTTAATCAAACTGCAAATCTCAATCATGACTCCAGAATAACTTACCAGATGGGTCTACCCTCTGCCAACTTTTTCTGTGTATAAATGCATTACTAATCTTTTACTCCTGCCAGTTTAAGTGAAAAAAAAAAAAAAGGTGTCACCTTGATCATTTGTATTTCACCAATTACTGTGAATATTATGTTTCTAGGTTTGATAGCCATCTGAATTTTTTTCTGCATTGGTTCTGGTATTTTATTCTTATAGTACTTTCTATATTCTCATCTTTAAAGTTTTTTTGATAGTTATCCTAGTTTTTTTATATATAATTTTTTCTTATATTGTACTTTTTTTAAATAAAGAAATGCTTATGAAGGGTTTTTCCCCCTAATATTAGTAATTTTGCCTAGTTTGCTTTTGAATATTTCATGGTTTTCTTAGATGACAATTTTTTATCACAGATAAACTCAAGGCGAGACCAGTTTTTAAATCCCATTTATTTATTTACTTACTTACTTATTGTGTTTAAGTACAGATGGAAGTGGGTACCTGTATGTAGGACAGGACAGTAGGCAAGCGTCACTTTTCTTTTTCCATATGGCTTGGGGGAACAAACAGGTCATCTGTCTCAGTATCTAAACCCACTGAACCTGTCGCCTAAGTGTGGAGCCACTTTTGTCTGTCTGCTTTAATCACTGATGTATGTATGACACCACACTCTTAACCATAGCTTTTCTAGTGTGCCATTTATTGTTCCTAGGCAAGGTCTTGTTATAAGACCTAGTGGGCCTCCAGCTCTGAATCCTCCTGCCTTCCCCACCCAAGTATTCACATTGCAGGTGTGGACCACCACTGGGCTCCACTTTAGTATGTGTTGATGATAACTAACACCTTTCCCCTCTAGATTCTCTTTGCTATGTTTACTTGAGGCAAGATCACTCACTGTGTGGCCCAGAATTATCCCAAAATCTCATTAGAGTCACTAGTACTGAGTTTTATAGCTATGCTCAGCCTCTTCTTTTCATAATTTTTGCAGGTTCTTGCTACACTGGATTGAGTATTGCTTTCATAGTCACAATCCCTTTCCAGTTATTTATTTAGTCCCTATTCTTCAATAGAGATCTATTTCTTTTGGTTTTGAAGATTTGGGTTGTAGCTCACATAGCCTTGCTAGTTCCTGGTTTATAGTTTTGTTGCCACTATCAGTTTTGCTGATTGCTAATTGCTTAATTATAGGAAGAAGAGGAAAGGCTATGAAGATGATGACTATGTATCAAAGAAACCCAAACAAGAAGAGGTATGTTTACTCCTAAATGTATAGTTTATATAATTTATTTTCCATTTTCTGGCATGACTTAAGATGTACTGTTCTGGAGTATTATTATAAGCATTCCAGTCAGGTGGGGCCATGAGTGGTTTAAAAAGTGTCCTGCTATGTAGCCCAAATTGGCCTTGAACTCCCAATCTTCTTACCTCAGCCCTCCAAGTGCTGGGACTACAAGTACCTCTGAAGTCTGAAATCATTTTTTACTCACCCCTTTATGCACAGTCTGAATTAAAAACAAACTTTAATTGAAGGATTTATTTTGGGTAACAGTTGAGGGTGATTAGAATCCATGGAGAGGAAGACATGGCAGAGGGCAGGAGCATGTGGGGCAGTTGCTTGTTACACATGGTGTTGACCAGGAAACGGAGTACATTGTTTCTTAAAGGATTTGTTTTTTTATACTACTGTATGAGCCAATTCTAAAACCTGGAAGAATCCTTCCTATATTAGAAAGCAGTGGTGCAAAATTTAATCTCCTATTCTCCAAGGATTCTTCCCTTGCCTTATCCCAGGCTTTAAAATTGTCTCTACAAGTCCAAGATAAATAAACAGAGGCCGAAGGTTAGCCTTCATATTACTGCATGGAGTAAGCGGCTGAGAACATGTCATCCCAATCAAGTGCTGGACTTAGTAGCACACTCCTGTAGTCCTAGTACTTGGGAGGCAGGAGGATCCAAGGCTGGCTGCAGCCACAGGAGACATCTCAAAAAAGCAGATCTACAGTAGACAGTTGTCAGTCAGCATTTTCTTAAAGCAAGGTACAAACAACTTGCTCACTGCTTCATTGTTTCCTTACCACTTTTTCCCCCTAGGAGGAATGGACTGATGATGACCTGGTAGACTCTCTCTAACCTTTTGAAGTCACAACGGCAGTGCTAATGAAGCAACAGAAGTAGGAAGCATGTCTGACATTTAAGTAGTACAATGTAAAACATCAAAATATATTAAACGTTTCTAATTATATTTTTTCTTTGTGACTGCTTTATATAACTTCAAAAGAGGCTGAATGCCACCTACTTTGGATATTTGTAACTCACTAAGATTAGTAGCAAACCTTGTCCTCCTATGGTGGCCAAATTCAAACTACAGTGCACTCATATTATTTTGAACAAAATGTAATTAAAGAAGTCTATCCATTTAGAAGAAATACAGAAAAACAAAACTTAGTAATAGTAAACTTTAGAAGTGCTAAGGAAATAGTTTTATTCTCCAGAAGGTCTTACAAATGGCTTTGCAAAAATGTTTCTTCAATAGACTGAACTATGGATGAATTACTATGAGCTGTAGAGTGTATTGGGCAGTTAGTTAGTGCTGAGGCACTAAATTTTATTTTAAGCAGTTACTGACATCTGGGTTCAAATAAAATATAATTTTTGAGTCTAGAGAAAAATCTTAAATTACTAAAGATAACTGGTAGCAAATTATAGTCCGTTTTATCATTAAATGATCATCTCTAAGTGAATCCATATAAAATAGGCATTATGGTCATAAAGTTTAAAAATGAAATTAGTATAAAAACTCACAACATGGAATTACTTAGGTATGCCTCTGTTTTTTTACGACTTTAGTAAACTGTACCTCAGTGTGCTACTTTCCCAAGTAGAGAATGGGGAAAATGATGATGCCTACTCTTGGTAGAATTATTCCCAGCAGTGCTTGACATGCTAATATGTACTTGCTGTGTATTAATAACTGTCTTAATGTGATAAGTAGTAGATAGTACAGTTAGGACCAAATTGCAGGTAGGTATGTATATTAGGCCAGTGTTTTGTTTTGGTGCTTTTGGATTTTTTTTTTCTTTTTTTTTTTTCCCCCTGGAAAACTGGCTTGAAGAAATTCTGAGAAACTCTACTACCTCAAATGTAAATCTACCCAACTTTACATACTCGAGGATACATTTCCTAGGAGGGTAGGTAGCATTTTAGTTCTGTCTTAAAAATGCGGTGACATTTATGTTAATGTTTATCTCCATATGTATGTTCATCTCGAATAATTATTTTTATGGCTTGAGTTTCTGGTTTGTTTTCTTTCTTTCTTGTTCTGGAATTAAACTTATAAAGTGTAATGCTTTATAATAGAATGAAAACCAAAGCTTATATGCCCCAGTGTAGTTCAAGTTAAGCAACTATAGACAGAATTGCAAATGCTCACAGAGTGTCTCCTGTTTTTCTTTCAGATCACTAAAATCACTAAAGTTTGGCATCAGAGCAAGGTCTCACATGTACCTCTGAAAATTTTCTACCCAGCCCCATTAAAAAAAAAATGTTTCAAAGATTTTATTTATTTCACCACTAAACACCTACCTACTACTGCAGGGCCAATGAAGGTAAGTAACAAGTTTCCCACTAAAATTTAAAACACAAACGTCAGTAAAACACAAAAATGGAGATAAGTCTTTCTTTTAAAATAAATGGTAAAAAAGGAGAGTCATGTCTGGCCAAGGAATGGCAGATAGGCCATCATGGCTGACACTCAAGTACAATTAATGAGGATAAACTAAAATGGCTTAGAGATTGGACCTCGGGCTGCTTTTGAAAGTTCTTATCTACATTAACCAGTTAGTAGCCCTTCCACCTTATAAACCAAGGAAATGAGATGAGTTACTATCATAGTACAGCCAGGAATAGGAACAGGAACAGGAACTGTAATGGGTTCCAGAGAGAAAGGGATTACATTGAGAACAAAACTTTGTTTTGTTTTTGTTATCACAGTTAACCTGATTGAAGCTATGTTAAGGACAGTAAATTACCTGTATGGCTGCATTCAGCCCTATATTTAAGCTGGGGATATCTCTCAATGGTAACATCAAGCATCTTTCTAAAGAATACATTGAGGCCTCTTCAGTTTGTTCCTCAGCAAAGAGAAATAAACCCTTGAGTACTTAACATCTTTCACTGTATACAATATCTCTGAGGAGTGCAACCAACTGTTTTTAGAATCTAGGCCTTCAGAAAAACATCTTATTGAGGGAATTCTTTTTTTTTTTTTTAATTAATACCTTCCTTGGTTCTTTTTAAACAAACAAACCCCTCTTTTTGATTACTAAGGATACTCTGCTACACGTTTTTAAGTCTTGTTTTCAGCATAAGACATGCTGCTTAACAAGTTGTACGAGTGAATAAATGAAATCCTTTATGAAAGAAATAATAAAAATCCTCCTGGGCCTTGTTCTGGTATTAAAGCTTGAACTATCCCTAAAAGTGGAAGAAAATTATAATGAAGTTAAATAGTAAGCTGATTAATTATGCAAGCTATCCCTGTTTATTTTAACTTAACCCTTGGGAATACTTCACAAAAATACAAACACAGGATCAGATGAAACTATACAAACTAAATTATCCAACAGAAAAAACAAGTACAAGTTCAAAGATGTGTAAGTTGTTAAGTAGCTGAGGAGGTTGTCTGCATAATTAAAGCAGTAACAAAAAGTCATCTTAGGACAGACACAAGTATTCTAGCAGTTTGTTTAAACATAAAAGACATCAGTAACCTATAAAATGGTCAAATGGGTAACATGCATTGATTGGTACAATGACCAATAATATTTATTGAATTTAAACTATTTACTTTTGTAAACATTTTAACAAAACCATGAGATCTAAATACAGTCTTTGACAATTCCAACAAAATAAGTGGTATGTTTAAAAAATAAAGCTGATGAGCATAGATTCATTCATTCTATATATTGTCTTTTACAGTTCCAGGAATAGCACAGTATTTTTAGAAAGTATACAGCAAGATTGTTCCTATTACAATGTCAAACTCTGGAAACTGTAAATACAAATAAATTCAGTGAACAGTCAAATGGTCATAATCGTAAGAAGGACAAAATTACAGTAAGAACAGTCTGCAATCCAGTTAAATTCTGTTGTCAATAGGATGCGTTTTTCTTGTCAGTTGATTTCATAGTTCGTTTTCCAAGAGACAGTAAAACTTTGGCAATTGGATATACTGAAAATATACTTTCAAAGTTTCAAGACATAGCTTTTTTTTTTTCTTTTGTGAAAGTTGATCTGTACACCAAGGCTCAGAGTTTGGTAAAGATTCCATGTGGAAAAAGTGCAAATATTCTGCACAGATAGCTTACAAAGGTGCTGGCAGTTACTTGCCAGCAGAATCTTGGTTTTTTGTTTGCATAGCTCACACATCACTGGAATGTGGAAAGTTGTGCTACTTTCTCTCTCTCTTCTTTTTCTTTTTTCTTTTCTTTTTCTTTTTTTTTTTGGCAAGAGCAAAGGAGACATAGTGATGTGAATTACCATGATGGACGTGCTGAATCCATGCAGAACACCAGGCTGCTACCTGACATCATTTGTTTTTGTATACTGGTTTTGTTTTTGTTGAAGCAGTTCAGTTATAGCCAAAAGCTTTTTCAGTACATGCTAGACACAAGGAGAAACAGTGGAGGGAGAAATCACTAAGCAAAGAATCTAAAATTTCAAGATAGAAATTTGGATTTAATAAAAACTACAGTAAAGCAATGGGATTCTGAAGGTACTAGTATTTCTACTCATTACATGAAACTGAGTTCTCATTATTTCAACTGAGTATTTAAGATCTTACCACACTAAATTTATCATTATAAACCTTGGTAATAAACTACTGTAATGGTTTTCAATTGGAGAGCTATTATTTAAGCTGTTTTTTAAACTTAAGAAAAAAAAAGTGAGGATTTTCAGGCTAATGAGAATCCATATGGCTGTTTTAATTTCTTTTGTGAAATCTCTGCCAGACAGGAAAGCAGTGCAGTGTTAGCATTTACTGCCTCTGAACCATGAAGAAATTAATCAGATTTAGAATGTGTGTGTCTTGATTTATACTTCCCCTATGCCTTTCTCCCCATTTAACTTCAACACTAGGTCAATTAAAAACCTTTCTAGTTCTAGTCCTTTTGAATAGACCCCCATATCTGTTGGTATGGACATCAGAAATCTAATATGGACTAGTGTTTTTTTAAGGTGTGGAGCTATGATACACACTGACTTGAATCACTATGAGGTATCATCTGTAGACATTTTTCAAATTTCCCATATACTTCTTTGTTTCACAAGTAACTTCGCTCATGTACTTGATGTGAGTGACTGAAAGAGTAACATGCCTCCCTCCTGACAATAACTCATGTACCATTTATACATTTTGAAAAGACCTACCTGCTGTGCGCCGCGCTCATTACTGAGTGTTCTCAGTTCATCTGAATGAGCTACACAGATCTCATGCAGGGCTGCTAAGTCACGAGACAAGTCAGTTCTAGAATGTTCTGTAGTGTCCGGAAGTTCAGGTACATTCTTTAAGGGAATCATAAAACTGCATTTAGAAATGAAAATCCTTGTAGTCACTTCTAAAATTATCCTAACTAGGTATAAAACATTAATTTGTCTAAGAATTTTTATTCAAATAATTCTGCTAAACATAGGTTTTAGAACCAGTTTCCATACTCTTCCATAGGATGACAGTATCATGAGTTGATTTTTTTTCTTTTTAAATTTAGAGCATGTCAAATTAATAGTATTACTGTCAGTTGCTGATTTGGATTACTACAACCTAAATGCCTAGACCGAATACCATTAGGACACTATCTAAATTGACCAGCATCTAAAGAGAACTACATTATGAAAATATAATAAAAGATTTACTTTGTAGTTTCTGTAGACTGCTCAAGATAAAAATGTGGAATCACTGGACATTATAGTGTTTAAGGTTCATGGAGTAACTTAACTATCATAATAAATGTATATTACTATATTATATTAAATGTCTATATTCAGGCCTTAAAGTTAACTTGTTGAATCTTAGATGTATTCCACTTTTTAGTGGTAGTGATTGTTACACATTCCTAAAAGTTGAAGGGCATTTTAGTTTTTGGGAGTAAAGAAATAACTCTAATACATTCATTTTAACTGGATCATTTATTTGCTAAGTGACTTGATGAATAAGATTACAAGATAAAAAACATTACAATCTTGCTTGCCTTCACAGAGCTTGAAGGTTAGTAGAAAGGGCAAAATCCAAGAAAAACTGACCAACTGTATTTTTTATTAGAAATGGAAACTTCACAGGAGTTTACTTAGGATTTTTGGGCTTACTTACAACCCCATTTCTTTCTTTCTTTTTTTTGGGGGTGGGGGGTGGGGGGCAAAGTGTTGTAGTGGTGATTGATAGGTGCTTTGAACTGAAATACATTCTAGAACATAGACAACTCAGCCTCAAACACCTGGCTCAGCTCACACATACATGTTATTTTAGGCTTTCTTCCTCTGGGTACACACAATACATTATGACTATATTTACTTTAAAATTCATTCAGTCCTTGAAATATATATATATTTGAAATGATACAGAAAATTTAACTTTCCTATTTAGGGTCTTAGAAATTATAAATGTATTTAATTTTGTGTCACAATTTTATTTATAAAAGCTCAAATGAGGCATTACAATACTTCATCTGGTTCTAACTTTAGGTTCCAACCTAACTGACTTCAAATCTTATTTTAGCTACAACTTAAAAGACTAAATACAACAATATCTAAAGGATAATGAATTTAAAATATGACTGGTTGAAAGCCACAATTTTGGATGCCTGACATAAGCCATTTATGCAAGAATAAAGGAAAAGAACATTTTGCATAGAAAAGATTTTATTTTAAAGTTCTGTTTTTAAAATCTAAGGGTTGTTGCTTATATGGCTGAATGTGAAAATTATGTACATACCCCAAGTTCATCTAAAAACATGATCATGCGATGTTTATTGCTTTTGATGAATGGATTGACACCTTCCATATAAGGTTCCTAAAAAATTAAAAATATAGGCCTCATATGCCTTACAAAAACTTTTACAACAAAAACTAGACATGTAGCAAGAATTACTATATGAAATTTTCCTAATGTAAACAGCTATATGGTGGAGATATTTAAATAAAAAGAAGTTACAAATTAAAAATCATTTGACATATAGCTTGGCAGACACAAATGTATTTTTTAATATGTACATTTAGAATTTATTACTGATAAATTATGAAGAATCCAACATATTGTAGGGAGTTAAAATACAGCAAAACCAAAAATTCCCTATGATTGCAGTAGGATAAAATATGCCTTGGGTTTCAGGTAAATTCAAAAGATAACCCATAAATGTTAACTAAAATCCTAACCCACTATAATTTGTTATAATTTATGGTTAGCACAGTATCAACAATAAACCTCAAATGTGATAAGATTCGATCGTAATTCCAAAGATGCAGACATGAAATTTCTAAGAAAAATAATGAAACATAAAGAGGATTATCTATGAGGTTGGACAGATGGGTTTAAGAGCATTAAGAGCACTTCCTGCTCTTGCAAAGGACCAGGGGTTTGGTTCCCAGCACCCATATGATGGCTCATAACTGTCTGTTCTGGCATAGATGGCAACAGGCACCCATGTACTTATGCAGACTGTTTTGCCTGCATGCATAAGTCTTTTTCGAGGGGGGCGGGGTAAGAAAAATTACTGAATTTGGCAAGAAATAATAATAGGCAATTGCCTATTTAGGCAAAAGCCTAAAATGTGTATTTAATTATTAATCACACCCCAAAGTTTAGGATGAGTCTGAAAGGAACTATGGAGAGAATACATTACATATCTGACAGAGGACAGCATACTAACTAACTAGTGGTTGGTAAAAGAGCAGTACATACTTGTGAGTTTGGTACAAACTAAGTTACAAAAGTACACTATGTTTTGAAGAATATGTTGATTGTGAAATAAAATAACCATTTAAAATGTGATCAATGATTTTAAGTATCAAAATATTTTTACCTTGGCTCCAAATTCCACAAGATTTGCTAAATTTTGCACAGACTTAGCCACTAACGTCAGTGTTCTTGCAGCAATAGGAGATGGGGAATCTAGAAGAGAATTGGGTACAACCAATGACTCAGATAAATCATTATAAATTTAGCACTTTTAGTTTTTCTGTACTGTTAAACACTAACAATCCTTTACTTAGGATATATTCAGAATAATCCTCAAAAATGTATGACCTAATTCCAAAGAACTTGAGTTAAAAAGGGAAAAAATTGAACACATTTATAAATGCTTCTTGTTTTGTGAACAACAACATACAAACTTGAGTAATTCCCAACTAACTGATAATATTTCAGAATACCTCAAAAAGCTGCTTTATTGCTAAGAAGATTGTCAATCTACAAACCTTTCAGGACAATTCACAAAGCTAATTTCAACTCACTAAGGGGAACGAACATTTTGCAATCTTAGCAATTCCCTGCTCCACATTATTTGCAGGCTAGTCACTGCAAATAGTTCACTTGAAAGATCAGTTTTTAAACTCATGAAAAACTTCCCTGTAGAACATAGAAAATGGAATGTAAATGAAAAGTATTTGTAGCTACCAAATAGAAACTGAAAATTAAGCCCCCCCCCCCACCTTTTCCTCTAGTGTTCTGTGTCTCAAATTCACTCTTAAGGACAACCTTGAATTTCTAACCTCCTCCTGCCTTTTCTCCTTCCTGAGTTTTATTGGGTACTAGGGATTGAACCCAGGGCCTCATGTATGCTCTGCCAGCATTCTACCAACTGAGTTATATCCCCAGTCTAAGATTATATTCTGACCCATTGTTTTAGATTGTATTGTAAAAATTTAACTCAAGTTTAAATATTGTTGAAGTGGCAGTTTAAAGCCAGTGTTTGGACAGAACTCTCAGAATTCTAAGTCTTTCATTTCAATATTTTAAAAATTATGTGTATTTGTGTATGGATATGTGCAAATGAGTGCTGTTGCCCACAGAAGCAAGACAAGGGTGTCTGATCCCTTGGAGCTGGAGTTTTGGTGGTTGTGAGTCACCTGACATGGGTGTTGGGAATTGAATTCAAGGTCCTCTGAATTCAGTAAGAAGAGCAGTATTTGGTCTTAAACACGGAACCATCTCACCAGCCCCAGTCTTTTATTCTTAATATGCATGTATTCAATCACTTCAGTAGTAATGAAAAGTAATTACAAGAATGTGATGAGTATGAAAGTAAAATTAAAATAATTTCTCCAATGTTTTTAAGATCCAGGGAATTCTTTCAGACTCAATTTTCTTCATGTGGGCATGGTAGGTACATACCAATGTGCTAAGTGACATGGTCTAGCTATATAGTCCAGCCTGGCCTTGACCTTTTTTTGTGCCTTAGCCTCTTAAGTTCTGTGATTACAGAATGCATTTACAGCTCAAATAATTTTTAATACAGCTTTGAGCTTCAAATTATTAGTATGAAAATGTTTGTTTCACTCCATTAATATTGATTGGCTCATTACAACATTGAAGTTTTATTAACACTTTTCCTTCCTTAAGTTTACAAATCTACAAACTTCCATTAATGGACAATGAATAAAAAACAAAATGGGATCGAGCTAATTAATCACCATCCAGAAGTTGTCCTTTGATCCCTGTACATGCACCATGGCAAGCAAATGCCTGTACACATACACTCATGTGCTTAAAATAAATTTAATGCAAACTTTTTAAATAACAGTCACAGGAACAGAAAAAAAATCTAACATCTTCGATAATAAAATAAAGAAGGCAGGGAATAGTGTTTTGGTTTGCTTTGTTTTAGATCTTTAAATTTTGATTTAAAGTGTAAGTATTTCCCATAAAGTGAATCTTTTCCCATTTCAAAGTTTATTAAAAGGTAATTACCTGAAATTATATTAAACATCCGTGGACTCAGGATAGCAGGACAGATAAGCCGAAGAAAAACAAAACCACTAATTGGAAGGAAAATTTTTTTTTAGAAACCATATATGTTTAAAATATAAACATAAAAAATTTAAACTTAGAATCATAACTTTTACTTTTGAGGAAGCCCAAATAAAGTTGGGCCTTAAAAATTAAGAAAACTGTAAGACAAACATAACTTCAAATTAACTCTGGAAATAAGTTTGCACTTATTCTCTTAGCTATTTAGAGATTAGTAATTAGTTTTTTACTAGAGGAAGCAGTGTATTAAAACATCGAGAACTGCTGAAATAGTATAAACCTTTTATAGATAAATAACAGTTCTGTAAGGTTCCAAATTACCCACTTTGTCTTTTAAAATTTATTTAAACAGAAAAGTCTGTGAGTGTGAATTAAGATATATAAACATTGGAATACACTGTATCAATGAGTCCTTGACAAATTTATAAAATGCATACAATAAACACTTGAAAGATCTGCAGTTAATGTAAACTTAGATACTCTGCCTCCTTTAGTCAGTAGTATTAAGTATATTGTTGTCATATAAGATCAGTTTTTACATTTTTTTAAAAAGAATCCACGGTAATAATTAACCTTGACAAGCATTAGTCCCCATAGTTTATAAAATTCCTTCTATAATTATTTACAGCAATTAATAACTTCACATTTTGATACTTCTTCTTAAAGAAGGTTCCTGTATAAGGTTTACTGAAAATATTTTGATACTTAACTAGAAACTTGAATTGATAACACTGAACTATTCAAAATATTTTTTCACTGAAATTTATTAATAGTGATTTTAAGGTGATTTTAAATTAAATAATACATGAGTACTATGCAATTTAAAAGCTTATTGCTAGGAAGAGAAATCACCTTAGGCATGAAAAACCCCTAAAGCACTCTGACATATTAAATTAAGTTAGAGGATTCCCTGCTGTACTAGTTTAACAGTTATACATTTAAAATGTGCAGTATCCCAGAACAGTTTAATGTCCATCACACAACTGCTCAAATAACATGCTTGTCATTTTTCTTTCTTCCTACAATTCTTCAGTGTGTCTTAGTGTAGCTAACTGAGAGACATTTTGGTTGGTCTGTTTTATTCAGGGGTAGGAATCAAATCCAGGACCACTTAGTGTTAATTCAGTGCCTTACCTCAGAGCTATGCCCTTAGGGCACTAATGGAAATTCTGTCTGCAAGAAAGTAGAAGCCTCCTGACAAAATTTATATCAGAAATGTCTTTAAAATTCATATTTTACATATAATGTGACTGGCAATGTGTATTTTCCATAATTACTAGAAAACTATACTTGATGCATTTCTATAAATTTCTTAACAAAATCCTCAAACAATATTGATATTAGGTGGTCGTAGGAATTTTGCTTTAGTTCTGTTTGGTTGCTAACAGTTTATAACTTAAGCAAACAGTTTTATTAAGTCTATATATGAGCTCTCAAATTTCATCAGATGTCAAAGCTGTCGTAAATGAGAGCTTCAGAACTCGAAGGCATGGTTGGAATCACAGATGGTACAAACCAATTAAAATCTAATGGTTCAACTACCGCACCATTGGTGATTCAAGCACCACTTTCCTCCCTCTCTGCCCACATACCTGAATCAGTGTGTACTGCACACAGTGACTATGACAAATGAAGGAGCGACTCTTACCTAACAACTCTTGTTCTCATGGTGTTATTTGCAGGCCATTTACGCTGAACAGATTTCTGTAAACACCCATAAATATATCTCAGTGTCCTGCCAAAATAACATAAACAATTCGATTCAGAAAGTAAATATTATCATCATCATATGATAATCTAGTGGCAGCCAAAATTTTTATTTACCCAACCAGTATATCATGTTTTTATGCATTTGACCTTCTCATCTAAAAAAGGTATTTTGTCAAAGGTAATGAGAAGCACATTTAGTAACAGGTGTAGAAACATAATGCAGTAAGTTTGGCTCCACTGATTTTAATTTCTGTGTTTATGAAAAGTATGAAATAAGTTATTAGACATGAGAATACAGAGGAATTATTGTGGCACATGTTCCATTATTTTGACTTCTTCCATCTAAACAAGTGAGTCTACTCACACTGAATTGTAAGCAGACATGACACTGGTATCTTATGTACATACTTGACTTTGGTTTTTGTTTCCTGGTAATGTAATGCTAGGCAAGAACTAGAAACCAGATTTACAGATACTGTCCTCAGATCTGAGACATGTTATTCACTCCCTAAGCTACAATACAAGCCTGACTTACTTGGTCCCCATATAAATATAGTTTAATTTATTAACGTATGTGTGTCTATTTTTCTTTTTTGTGAGACAGGATCTTGCTATGTAGCCCAGGCTGGCCCAAACTCATCATCTTGCCTCAACCACTCCAATACTGGGAATATAGGCAGGTGCCACAATGTATATTTTACTATGGCTTCTTTAACAGTTATTATTCATTTACTTTTTTTCTTAAACATAATCCATCTTTTTTTTTTTTTTGGTTTGGGGTTGGGGTTAGTTGAGACAGGGTTTCTCTGTGCAACTGCGCTGGCTGTCCTGGAACTCTATTGAACAGGCTGGCCTTGAACTCAGAGGTTCACCTGCCTCTGCCTCCCAAGTGCTGGGATTAAAGGTGCATGCCACCTTGCATGGTTCATAATCCATCGTTTATGAATTAAAAATCTGAGAATAATGCCATTAGAAAGCATTCATTAAAAGAAAATTTACAAACCACAAATTAATCAAATTTTGCAAACAATTTGACAACTTACGGTGGGAGTATTTCTGAAGCCATGAATATTTTCTCCACAAGCTCTGAAAGTATGTTCAATAGGTGTGCTAAATTAGTGTTCACATCTTCATTCTTCTCTAACTTTGATGGACTTAACTAGGAGAAGGAACAAACCAATCATTATGGTGGTGAGAGATTATTTTTCTCAACACTGTTCACTGTTCCACATATGCAAATTCAATACGTTTGCTATTATTCATTCCCAGTTACTCAACTGAACATTAAACCACTCAGTTCTATTTATCTGAGAAAAAAAAAAAAAAAAAAACAACTGTTTTTAATGAGGTTCAAAGTAGTAGCTAAGGAAGATAACCAAAATGTATAAGTAGAATCATGAACCCTTCTCAGAACTTTAAGTACAACTTCCACCCCCAATCTACATGATCTGATTCTGCCAGATGGACCTACAGATCTGACTTTTGTCAACTTTAATAGTAATTATGGGATTACCCTCAACTTCTAACAATAGATCACTCATTTTATGGCAGAATTAACATTTGACAGCTCCAAGTGTTAAAAAGTATTTCCTTATTTTACTGACACTGTATCAAGCAAGCCTGAGGATTTACACTATCTTTTTTTGTAACTGCTCTGTAGCATCCATGCAATACAATAGTTATGTAAGCAGGATTCTACTTATAAACTCACACTGAAACCTTAATCATCTTTAAAAGATTATTTCATTTTCTTTTAATCCTGATCTTCCACAAAATAACCCATAGAACTCTCTAAAGAAAAGATGTTATATGTTTGACTTTGGGTGCCAACATAGTACTACAAATGGGAAATCCACATCTGGCTTCACATGATGGGCCAAAATCATAGCACAAGCCTCCTAGAACTCATGTAAAATAAACTTCAGTCATAAACAAATTTCATGCTTAGACTTAGGTTCCATCCTCAAGATACCTTATTGTGTATATGAAATAGGCCCAAAATTTCAAAATACTTTTTTTTTTAATAACAGATACTCAACATGAACAACAAAGTCCCTGGAAAAATGTTCAATTTATGTTACACACATTCTTAAAGTAAGGTACACCTGATCATTAGTAGAAATTAGGAGAAATACCAAAAGAACTGTGAGTGCACGAATGTGCATGTGATGTGTGTGTGTGTGTGGGGGGGGTGGTTAATAAATCTATTATAGAGGACATAACTGCATTGGCAAATTTAGAAATGATGTACTTTCCCAAAACTGTAATTTGTTAAACGTTCTCACTAAAATGTACTATTTGCTGCAAAGATTAAAACAATGAAATATTACCTCACATGACTGCTTGCTTTCCATTATCTTTAAAATTGAGTCTTTCAAAGCATGATGAACAAATTGTGTGGCAGTGGCTTTCATATACTGCTCCATCAAGGTACTAGCAAGTGTTGTAGCTCGAAAGAGGGTAGTGGCTTCATCTACACAAAAATGGATGTTAGATTACATTCACAGAACTGTACTAATACAACTAAGTTGGAAATTAAATTATTTTTCTTCAGTAATGAACTTTTTACATGAATATTGATGAGGAGAAAATAAAAACATTAGTAAACTGTGAAAAGCACAGTGATATGTACCTTAGCCTTGGAACTGCTATAAAATCTAGAAATAAAATACAGGTGACATCTGATTTCTACCTATAAACTGCTAAGTGATAAATACTATGCTATTGTTGATAATCACACACTGAGTCTGGACAAAGAAATCATCTTCTTACAGCTTCTAATACTTAATCTGCCATGACAGAATTAGAAATAGCAACCCATTCCCATATTAAACAAAGAATCTCAGATACTTTGTAAATGATTTAACAGTTTAATACATTTAGTTTGATATATAAAATCATATGTACTTTTATGTTTTTAAAAATATTACATATCCATATATTACCTTCCATACTTATCTCTCTGTCATTTAGTGTGCATAACAACAATGATTCCAGCTTTTCATGAAGAAAAATCTTCAGTAGGATGCTGGCCAGTAGTGTTCGGTCTTGTCCACATACATGTGATAAAGCATAGACTACATGAAGTTCCTTTTGTAGTATGAGCTAAAATGACATTAAAAAAGATTGCTGAAAGTATATAGCATTATGTATCCTTGGAGACCAATGGGAAATATATATAAGGTTAAGTGGCAGAACACATACATTGAATACAGTTGTTAAAAATGGAGTGAGTTTGTAGCCTATATGTTTCAAGCTTTATAAGGACAAAATCATACAACATGTTTTTTACCTCTGGCTACTAGTGTACTACTGATCTAGGACATTACTATTTAGCTTAATGCATTTTTATTAAGTAGTTAATATTCATGTGTAATGCCATTAAAAGCATTACACTACTAAATAATACCTCTTTAAATTCACTGTATTCTTCTTCTGGCATGATTTTTTCCATAGAGTATCGTGCTCGAACACGCAGGGATCCTGGTTCAATACCTTTTAATGGTATATGGGAGCTGAGCAGAAACCATTCATCTGTGGCATGTCCTTTCTGTAACCTGCTCAACTGGCAACGCATAAATACTACAAAAGAAAAACCACTATGGTCATATGCATTTTCTCTACAGTTTTAAATGCTCTCCATTAAGCAAGTTTTCAATAACATCACAAAGCCAATGCTTATTTGGTTACTTTTTTCATTTACTAAAGGCCTGCTATGTGACATTTTGTGGTAGGCTCGGGATATGGGATTAAGAAATGATTAAGACATGGTGTTTGATGTACGTGGAAAAGTCTTAAGCTATAAAAGAGGATGCAGTGTAAGTGCTACAACAGTGAGCAATACTTGCACACAAGGATGCATAACAGCCTAGGGGAATTAAAAATCCACTCCAAACATGAACATAATTTGAGTTAGCTAGGTAGGTAAAAAGGTAGAGCAGTAAAGACTACACTCCAAATACAAAGTATTGCTTCTTTCTGTGCCATTACTGGGATTTTATCATACAAGTAATCGAGAAACACTTAAGAATGTAAACAGTTACAGAATACACGTTTTATTCAGAGGACTTCAGGTTTTGATCTGTCTGTCAGTACAGATCACTGCTTACCCTAAAAGCCTGAGTTGTAAAAGAAGGTATTAACCTAATTCACCCTGGTATGAATCACTAAATCCCACGCCATCTGTCCTACCAACAGGACGGGAAGAAGTGTGCTGCTCGGAATAGGCTATCCAGAGCACTGAATATCACAACAAATAACCAGTACACCTGAACATTCTCGATCTTTTTCTTTGTAGGGCTGAGAACTAATCCCCAGGCCACTGCATGCTAGACAAATACTCTACCATTGAGCTGTATCTCCAGTCTGTAACAGAACTTTTAATATTTGAAATGTAGGAAAAATGAGGGGAAGCTAAAAAAGGAAAGAGTACAAAAAATGATTACCATTACCATTTTCTTGTAGGGAGAGTACATTGTATATTTTAAATTGTAAGGACTACAGTACATACACTTTGGCCATTTTGTTCTTTACTTAATCGTCACCTCTGGACAGTCAACGTTTAGTAGCAGACTACATAGCATATGTTTCATCTCCATCTTAGATAAATTTCATATATAAATTCTAACTATATATTATAATATATATAAAATAAATAAAACATGCATTCATTACTTTAGAAAGTAGTGTAATCAACTTACAGATATCTGGATCTTTGCTTTTCTTTGTTTTATTACTAAGTGTGATTTCAAATCTATTGATGTCAGGAGGAAGATCACTAAAGAAGCAAGGAGAAAAATTGGAAAAAAATGTTCTAGTATCAAACTACCTTATTTCCATTTAAAAAATGCAGTGTGTTATATAAATATAAAACCAGGTTTATATTATTTGTTACACAAGAATATTGATAACTAAACATTTTCCCAGTAATCTTAAACTTCCTAAACCACTAATAACCCATTAAAACCAGATCTAGAAAATATAGAAAACATTTTGTCATTACTTTTCAGTAGTCCAAAGGCATTTTGTTAATAAAGATGAACAAATCCAACAAAAAATACTATTAAAACAACAGAAACAGATAGTTTATGTGTAAACAGCAGGAGGAAAATGACTCTAAAAACAGATTGAATATGATAAAATACGACTTACTCAAAGACAAACTCCTCTGACCATACTGGGTTTTGCCCCTCCCTTGCATGAGTTTTCGCTACTTGGACGCTATTCAGGTAGATGTTACAATATGGATTAGTAAAGTGTTTTACTGGGAGTTTGTGGGCTTCTTCAATATGTAAAACAAGGCTGCTGACCTAAAGAGAACACAGAAATTCATACCCAACATTTCAAGACCTGTATATAAAGCCAAAAATAGTGACTTGTTTTTCTTAGTATTCTGAAAAATATAAGCTTTGCTAATCAACTATCACTACTCATTTCAAAACTCCAAATATCGTAGTATGCTTGTCATGGAGATTTTACTACTTAAGAGTCCATGGTAAGATGTTTATAAGACACAAATTTTATGATCTGATGCTACAGAAAAGACATGCATTCCAAGGAGCTAATATATTATCAGTATGGGGGCCATAACCATACATCTACCTCCGACTATTAGACACTCTTTCTACCATCAGTTGTGCTATCCTCAACAAGCAGACTCTGACTCATCTATAAAATGTAGAAGACTACATGCTGTGTTAAGGACTGGAAACAAGCCTTCAACCCACAGCAGATTAAATGACACATCAAAAGAGCTCGAGATATTGGCTATTATTATATGTGTACAAAGGTATGTGACAACTTCTGTATATTAAATATTTATATATATGTACACACACACACACAAAATGTCCTTGGGACAAAGGCTAGGGTTTAGTTACTTCATAATAACTGTTTTTAAACTTCCAATAAAAGTCTTAAATTCAACAAGCTTACTGGAAATACCCATTAATACAGGTCACTTTTCTCTATAAATACATACTATCTTAACTTTCTTCAAAATTCCAACCACATTAGATAGATGGCTACTTCCAATTATCTAGGGACCACTTTAATGAAACAACGAAAGAAAGACGTGAGGCCAAGAAATAAGGGATAAGCCAGTTATGGTGGCTCACACTTGTAATACTAGTGTTCAGGACACTAGTGCAGGAGGATTACTGCAAGTCTAAACCCAGCCTAGGCTACGGATAAAACCCTTATCTCTAATGATAAAAACAATTAAGAAAAGGTAATAACATAGTACATATCTAGAAAAAGAAACTTAGCTTAACTTCCTAAAAATAAAAGTATACACAAGATTTAGGTTTTAGTTAAGACTGGCTAGTCAGTCTCATAAACAGCTATATCATGAAAAACAAGTTTTCAAGGCTATTGCTGTGCATGTGATTAACTGATCAGAAGTACCTTTCCTTCTTCCATCTGAGAAAGAGGTGCAGCACAAGACAGGGGTTTCTTTTACTTGCTTTGAATTGTTTTGTTAAGCGAAAAATAATCTATTTAAAAGTTGGCACAATAGACTAGGAAGCAGAATACATATATAAAGAACTCTTCTTTCACAAAGTAATCTGCTACCAAGTCAAGTGACAGCAAGGCTGTAAAATTCCTGAAAGACTAAACTTTTCTACTCTTAAGAAATGTTGGCAAAAATAGCATGTACATGTATAGGGAAAAAAAGAGCAAAGTGATATGAAAATAGGACTGTTACAAGTCAGACACAATGAAGTTTCACCTGACGAAGGCGTTTACTAGATGTCCCTGGGCTACTTTTTCGTAAACTGCAAAATGCTTGCAGACCTTTCATCCAATCCTACAAAAAAACAACAGTATTGCAAAGAAACATACATGAGTTTATCCAATTATCAATTTACTTTCTTTATATTTAATTATCATTCCCATCCCTAGACTTCCATTTCTAGTCTCAATATACTATACTGTAATTTTCTGTCCCAGCAAAATGAAACAAGAAACAAAACAATAGTAGTTTTCTCACTGTCATACTTAAGTCCAGGGACCTCTCTAGGGTCCACAGTGACACACACGGTCATCTGGTATTGCCAACAAAGGCACTTTCATTCACTTTTCATCCCATTTGTTTCTCACAGAGTCTCCTCAGAAAAGTCATATTTGTACAAAATATAGTTAAACCCTCCAGAAATATTACAACTAGCTGCTTGATTTTGGATTATATGACGACCATCTCTAACTTATGGAAATATAATGATTTTAAATGATTAGCCTCAACTGAATTCGTAGAGCATTTAATGGTCAATTTTAAACGTCACTTTTTATCCCTAATAACCCTTCACTGTGTTTGTTAAAAAGAAACAAAAACTTGGACAGTTTCTCACTTGTTAAATAAAATACTAAGAGTTCAGACATACTTTCATAATGCTGTACCACAGTAGTTTTCTACCCTAGTTAATAAAGTTAGGCTAGCACAAAGATTGCAATAGTTTAGGAAAGAGTGATCTTACCTCTGCTTGTTCTGGAGTTTCTCCTGCAAAGTAAAAGATGTAATGTTCTTCACTAAAGTGCTGAACTACTATCTGAAAACAGTTTGGCCTTGGAACACAAACAAAAAAGGTATTAAGAAACTTAAAAAATATTAAAGTATTTATACCAACTTTAAAAATACAAAGTATAATTTAAGATTGTCATAATTTTTAATTTAGAGAAGCAGGTATTTCGTTCAGCCAGATTGATGTCATGTGCATAAATATTACAAAATTTAAATTTTAGTACTTTCATGGTTTAAAATAAAGATATATAAATTAATATTAAAATATATCAAAGAGAAAAGCAATAAAAATTGAAGTAGAATTTCTAGGACTACACATAACTTATATGCAGAAACTGTGGACATGCACTGGAAAGTAAAAAGGAATGGTCTTACTGGAAAAATGTTAATGCTTGTCTCTAAGCAGACTGAAGGTAGTTTGAATGTTCTTTATTCAAAAACACAATCTCTCCTACACCACTTATTCTAAAGTTTAATGGCATAGCAGGTAGTATACAACATTTGTTCATGTCTTCCTCAGTATGAACTACTACAAATCATTTGTAAGACAATTTTATAATACAAAAGTAAGACAATTCTATAATACTTAATAATTTGCATCTGTTTTGGAAATGTGCTGACTCTACAGTTAAACTGGATAAATCTTAATAAAAATAAGGAAGGACCTGTAAGTTTTCAGAAGTCAGTAAATATTACTTCTATATTATTTTAGAAATATTACTTCTATATTATTTTAGCCAAAGATTTTATCATATACACTTGTTTAAAAATTTAAAACATTTTTCATGCTTTGGGAAGATCATAAAATAGTGGAAAATATGAACTAAGAATTTCTGATCTGAATATAGTCTGAGATTAATCCTCCAGACAGAAAACAGTATAGGAATAACAAATAGCAATTTGAAGATACACAGAACAACCGATACTGGGAAACCTGAGAAGTAAAGCTCATTTTGAGAGTCTGACTTTCCCCATACTGCTTCCTTTTCAACCCTAAGGCCATAGACTGTGAGGCTGATGTGCTAAACCAAGAGCAGCACTGTTGAGACAGTAGCCCCAATCCGGGAGATTCAGTGACTGGAGGGGAAAATGGACCCCAGGTCCTTCAAAGATCAGGCTGTCATGTTAGACATCTGAAGCTGACTGTGTCTTCACATAAGGAGGGCAAAGCAAAGTGAGGTTGCCTTCCCAACCTTGAACTCAATCTTCACTTGATCCCCCCAAAGGCTTTAAGAACAATATCTTCTGGAAGCAGTAATATTACTCATAGCTTTTCACACACATCATTCATTCAAACATTAGCAGATATTATAGAGCCAAAACCAAATGAATGAAAAAACCAAGAGGAAAACAACACAGGACAAACACAGCCAAATAAAGTTTTCAAGTAAGTACAGATGGAGAATGAGAGCTATTAAAAAAATTAAAAATGAGAGCTATTTCTAAACTGAAAAATGGGAGGAATAAAATTAGTAAGTAGACTTAACTGAAGATCAATAGATAGTGAGCCATCAAAGTAAATATTTAGCTTGAAGAAGGGATGGCAAGAGAAGATGTAAAACACAGAAACTCATCTATTTAGATGCATGGGACATGGTACAACATGTTTATTGCAGATCCTAGAAGATAGGGAATGGTACAGAAGCACTGTAAAAGCATGCTAACAGAGATTTTCTAAAGCTGATAAAAGACAGCAGGTCTCATTTAAGAAACTATAATCATTAGAATTTTTAAAAAATATATAACAGTAGACACATTTCGGTTTTTCTATAGGAAAAAACTTCAAAGCATCCAGAAAAAGTTTAGGTTCATTAGCCCTGATAGATAGATAGATAGATAGATAGATAGATAGATAGATAGATAGATAGATAGATAGATAGACAGACAGACACACACACACACACACACACACACACACACACAAATGAAGTTACAATGAAAAGGATGGAAGGCAATCAATATGGTTAACTCGGTTAGAGAAGCTTCTCAATGTGTGGGTAGTGGTTAATGCAGACACATTACTGTTCAGAGTGCTGGGAAGAAGCAACTGAATGCTTGCTCGGCCTTAGATGAGACATGTTATCAATTCTCTCTACCAATGCTTAGGGAATATCATAAAGAGTAGGTAGAAAGAATATAATAAGAGAATGGGGAGTAGTGTTGTAAAATGCTGGCCTCTTGACATGGCATAGCAGTTGCATATAGCCCAAGCAACAGTAGTTATCTACTTAAAACCTGCACAAGATCAAACCAGTTAAAGATTCCAGCATGGAGTAGTGAGGGCTCCAAAAGCTCCACTTCTAGCTGAGGAGCTACTGGCAGTTGATGGTATTAGGGAAGGGTTAGGAGTGTGGCCACTAAAAGGTGGTATATGCTCAAGTGGATGAGTCCATGCTCAAGTTCATATGGGCAGCATTAATTGGACTCAGCAGGTTAAAAAAAATTTAATGTTTACAGAAAACTGCCAAACAATTTAATATCTAATGTAATAGCTTTCCTTTTAAGGCGCAAAACTACACAGAGAAACCCTGTCTCGAAAAACCAAAAAAAAAAGCCAGAGTAAATGAGTCAGTCTGTGGAAAAATAAAAGGGTAATAACTCTGTCAACAGTGGTCATCAGAATAATTATCACTGAAACAACTTTCAACTTAAGCTCGTAAAATGTTTCCTATATAACATACAGCATTATTAAAAATCTGAAGTTTAATATGAAGAAACAGACAGAAACTGAACAAACTAACTAGGAAGATTGCACAACCATGCAGGCAAACATGTACACAAGCAGTGTTATCCCAACATTTCTTCATCAGAAGACAGAGCATGCATATTTAGTTAAGTCACCTTTCAAAGAAAGTTACTACTTTCTTTCAAACTAGACTTTACCTGAATGGCACAGTCTATATATTAGGTTCTATGTTCTCACACAAAGCATGAATATGCAAAGCATGCTAAAATATAACAGTACTCATTCACAAATTTGCCCTTTTGTGCTCTGATATTCGTACTTTATAATAACATACAATTGGTATCAACTTAATTTCATTTGTCCTGTTATGTGATGGGGTATCTTTACTTTCATGAAAGGAAATACATTTTGCTGATCTCCTAGGCACTTCCTAATAAAGGTACATACAATAAAAAGTTTATACTAACTGGCCTATTTCAGGAACAGAGATCTGAATTCTCAAAGGAGAGATTTTACCTTTTTTTTTCATAGACATAACTTTTCATATCAGGTTTCAGACCTGGTATCATTAGGTATTCATAACTAAGATACCTTTAGAATGTCATACTCTTAACAGTCAATTTCTGCATTAGAAGCAAGAAATGACAATACAGTGATGGTACATGTATATTTATTGTTTTCCAACAGTCAGAACACATCTTCTTTGTTCTACATTATTTCTGAAGAAGTTCACTATTTATTCAATAAATAAATGAAGTTAGAGTTATTCCCACCAAGAGGATATTTCCTACCAGACTTATATTTTTAACGTAAGTCTTCTTTTGGCCAGCTAATATTCTTTGATATCTAACAGTCACAGTCTGATCGGTTTTCTTCATATAAAAACAAAACACATGTGGCTGAAGTACCCTGGATTTTCTTACAGCCTTCATATTTTTAAAAGTAAAACTGTTTAATATGTATTCAAGTCTACAGACAAGGAATAACATGGTCAAGTGAATTTATGAATTAGTTCAGTAGCTAGTCCTACTACTGAAATGCTATTCCAAAGATGTCTGCCTAACAGAGTCAAATTTTACACAGAACTTAGGCAAAAATTGAGGAAAAAACCTTAAAATCAATCAATTTTAGATAATTTTATGCTCTTAAAATAGATTTATACATCAAATGGTCTGAAAATATCCACTATTTTTATTATTAAAACACTTTAAGAAAACCAGTGTCTTACCTGCCAAAGAGACTATCATGGACAACATAGACGGAACATACACTGAGATCTATTAACCCTTTTGGTTTTGTAGCTCGTTTTTCACTTTCAAAATAAATAAGTTGGGCATCACTGCCCTCTAAGATAAAATATAAATTTTTCCAGCGTTTTCCTTTGCCTGTTTAAAAAAAAAAAAAAATGTCTTTAGGAGCTAAGACATAGTATTTTCAGAATACAAAAAAAAAATTAAGAATATTTCAATTTTCATTCTAAGAATAGATCCATATATAATTACAAAATACCTATAACCTGTATACAAAATTGCTTCTTGTTATTATTGCTTGTTTAATGAATTAATGAATGGTGGAATTCATCAGAATACTTTTAACTGTGTCTTCAGAAATTGTATTATGATAAAATCCTCAAAATTCCTGTCTTAGAGTAATTGTTTTCAACCAGCACCTACCCTACCCCTCAATATCTTAATGTCAAACTGAGGTAGATCTATAAAATAAAAATGTTAGTACCCTGAAGGCTAAGTGCCACAAGGAATTTCTCTAAGAAACCATAGAGAGAGCCTGAAAGTAAGACAGGATTTAATGACACACTTGGAATACAAGCTTATTCTAAAACCCTGTTTAGAAATGTGGACTTAAACTGATCTCTAAAGTTTGAAACATGCTATGTGTAAGCTCTAAACAAGTATCTGTTACTAATAATCAATGACAAGACAACTGACTATATCTTACAGTAAGTTTTATGGATATTTATGACTCTCCAATGAAAGAGATATCTTGGTAGAGGGAACCATTATGGTGTTAGGGAGAAACGTGGTGCTAGGGAAATCCCCAGGAATCCACAAGGATGACAGCAGCTGAGACTCCTAGCAATGGTGGAGAGGGTGCCTGAACTAGCCTTCCCCTATAATCAGATTAGTGAGTACCCTAACTGTCATTATAAAACCTACATCCTGTAACTGATGGAAGCAGATTCAGTGACCCACAACCAAGCACTGGGCTGAGCTCCTAGACTTCAGTGGAAGAGAGGCAGGAGGTTTCACAGGAGCAAGTAAGTTCAAGATCATAATGGGGGAAACCAGAGAAAGCTGATCCAAGTTGGTGGGAGCTCATGGACTCTGGCCTGTCACCTTAGGAACATACATAGGACTGAACTAGTCCCTCTGAATGTGGGTGACAGTTGTGTGGCTAGATATGTTTGGGGAGCCCCTGGCAGTGGGACCAGGACTTATCCTGGGTGTATGAAATGGCTTTTTGGAACACATTCCCTAGGGTGGGATACATTGCTCAGCCTTGACACAGCGGGGAGGGGCTTGGTCCTGCTTCAACTTAGTATGCCAGACTTTGTTGACTCCCCAAGGGAGGCCTTACTGTCTCTGAGGAATAGATAAGAGGTAGGATCAGGGAGATGGGAGAAAGGGAGGGAGGGGAAACTGGGATTGGTACGTAAAAAGAAGAAAAACTTTTTTTTATTTAAAAAAATACATTTATGACTCTTATCATATGGTGAGCACTAAAATCCTAAATTATTAGTCCTAAAAGTTGACTTACCCTTCTTCAGAAGGTAACCTTTCTTAACTATGTTTTTATAAAAGGCATCCTTTGTTTTACGACGAATTGTATTATAGATTTCCTTGCCATCCACAGTATCATTGAGTACTTGTTCTTGATCCTGAATTGTAAAGAAACATTATTAAAATTATTTATGAAAATAAATCACTAATGAAAAAGCAGGTAAAATATTTCTAATAACTAAAATCTAAATGTAAATCTCACAAAGAAATTCTCAGAAAGGTTTGTCATTTCTCAAGAATATGTCTCATGGACAACTGCAATTTCAAAACCTCAGTCAGCTTGTTGTATTTTAAATCAAATGAAACTGTTTTGAAAGTTATTCCAGAATTAACTGGCAAATCAGGAGGCAAAGTGAATTAGAGCAAACTCATGTTGGTGAATGTTCTTTATCTCCGAGAAATACCAAGTGAGACTAGAAAACTAACCAGTTGAATGAGGACACATCCCCACCTTAACCCTCAGCTCAGCACACATGATACAGTACATAGTTAGTTATATCCACACCTGGTATTTATAAGCTATCTGAATTAAGATAATTTTCTTTCCACTACTTCACAGCTTTCTCTTGCTTCAATACCTTTGATGGCCTCACATCTTTTTTCACACTAAAGTACTGCATTTATTATAACCTTTACATATTTCTTTTTCATTAAGGATATTTAAAACAAGACCACATTTTTCAGTTCCTATTCTATTGTGTCAAAGATGAAATGGTATACTTTGAACTCCATTTTTCCTATAAGCCCTAGATTTTCACTGCTCGATTTTACATAACAGGCATTAGTAATGCATATAAGACAGCTGACATTAATCACTACATTGCCTACAGAATTACGTCCCAAAGAATACAGAAAATCATGATCTTCCCAGACAAATTAATTTTCAATTGTATCAAGGTATGTTAAACTAAATTTTAGTCTTCCCATTTCTTTATTAGTAGTTCTTTTATTTTTGAAAGACTACTATTTTGTGGTACTTAGCTATTTTTTGGAGGCTCTGTAAAGTCTATACAACTTCTTGTAAATAGAGAACATTAAGTGATTTTTCACGATTGCCTTTCTATTCTATTTGGGACATTCTGCTGTCTCATTTCCTTACTCAGCAATTATGCCTGGGTACTAAGATGGTAAGAAACAGAAGCATCAGTTACCTCAGATAGAGGTGACAAACTATGGCATGCATGCTAAATTCAGCCCATTATCTCTCTTACTTGGTTGTTGTTTTGTGGTATTGTGGTTTAAACCTAGGGAATTCTGCATGCTAGGAAAGTGCTCTACTACTCAGTTATATCATCAAGTGACCCAGCTCCAAGCCCAGTCCTCCGTTTTTGTACAGAAACTTTTACTGGACCACAGACATGTTTATTAGTTTATATACTGTCTGTAGCTGAAATTTCCATTACCAGGATAGAGTTAGGTATTTGAAATATACTGGACATAAAACCTAACAAGTTACTACCTGGCCCTTTATAGAAAAGCTTTGCCAATCAATCCCTGGTAAAGATACAAGGATGCAATAGTGAAATAAGTCTCTGTGTTGTACCACCCTTGACTTTTAATGCATTGCCAGGTATTACAGCATCTTTAAAAGGGATAGGAGGACATTTTTTTGCCTTTTGTTATTATTCATTAAAAACAGCTAATTAAAACTTCAGACTTTTTAATTTTCTGCTATGAATGGTAAGGGGGAAATGAAAGGAAAATATTGACATTTACCAGAACAATGAATGAATTTTGAAAAATAGCTATACTCTGGACTCTATTGTGAGGAAACTGATTTTGATAACCAAATCTCTTACTATGATATATACAAATTGTTAATGTTCCTTAAATTTTTTATATCAAATTTACTCATGAGGGTTGTGAATTAATGCTGAAAACAAGTTATATAACAGGGTTGTTAAAGTAAAAGTTATAATATAGAATTAAAAAAAACTCACTGAAATATTCTAAGTTGGTATTTCTAAGTATAAAAACATTTTACAATTAGAGAACAATAAATACTACTTTCATAAAAATGGTCTTCAGTGCTTTCAAAAGTATCAGTTTTGAAAAGATAAACCCCATTAGTAATATTTATAGTTTGCGGTCCGCATTGTATTTATAAAAACCAGAGTAATTATAAGCAGAACTTATCAGAATATACAAGACAGCTTGTTCGTCTGCACACAGAAAAGCTGAAGAGCAAGTAGCTGTACTCCAAAGACTTGCTCACTTAAGAAAGCTGTGACTATACATGAGGGAAATAAAACTTGCTACATTTAAGCACTCCTAACATTTTCTTTAAAACTTATTTGGTTTTTTTTTCATTTCTTGTATATATTATATACTAAATTACTTACATACATAAATAACCTAAACATTAAAATACTCAGATGATAATTAGTATTAATACAAATTTGTACTCATCTATTTTTATTTCAATGGTGACAGTCTGTGTGTTAGCTGTATAATGGGGTACACTTATCATTTGAGACATACCACATCCATGCTTAGCTTTAAACACATGACTCCAAGGGAATCTATAAGTGTTGTATATTTCTATGTTATGTAGGTGTGTGTGGGTAAGGAGGCTTGAGGACAAGGTACTGGCCCTTCACAGTCTCTCACACTGTCTCTCCCTGAATTTAGAGCTTGACAATTAAGCAAGACTGGTAGGCCAGAGAGCTCCCAAGATCCTTCTGCACTGTCTCCATGTTGGGATTATAGGTGTGCACCACTGCATCCAGCTTTGGCTGAAGTGGACTCTGGGGAATCGAACTGTTCTCATGTTTGCAATAGCAAGCACTTTACTAACTGAATCATCTCTCCAGCTTGTGTAAAAGTTAAATTAAGGTATACTGACCTACAAATCATAAAGGACTCTGGTATCTTCTAAGGCATGAGTAAGAATGCAGCTTCACTTGCAGGTTGTAATAAATCACTGAATGATAGATAGCAAGGCCTGTTTCCTTATCTTGGCTCACTTTCTACACAGTTCTGAACAAAGAGATCTCATCTTACATAGTCCTCCCTGAGAGTTGATAAAACAGAACCTACAGGCTACCGTAGCCAGACTTCAATTCTGACTCTGTTACTCAATGGCTAAGAAAACACCATTCAACAATCCAATTCAAAACACTAAATTAATCATAGGTCAGTAATGTAGGTTCTAATTAGAGAAAGTCAATACATAATCACTGTATGTTAAAATAAGTAGAGTGCTTTGCAGAACAGAAGTAGCTGTGGTGTTGGTCTCTAAATAAATCTCACTGTGAAGCTAATTTTTTAGTAAAATTTTGAGTAACTAAAGGTAAGTAGATTTCCGAGAGAAAAGCCAGCTCAAAGATCTAAAGGAAGTAAAGATCCTACTGTATTTATAAATCTCAAACAGGACCAAAATATGAATTCAGGAACAGATGAGGACAGTAGAATAAGGTAGGTCAGAAATACGGAAACATCAGTATAGAATTTTCTTGTCTGCCATAAAAGGGATTTTATCTTTTATTCTGAAATAGTGAACATCTTGAAGTACTAAACATAAGAATGGACCCAAGTTACATTTTTTTAAAATTTTTTATTTTTGGGGGGTTTTTCGAGACGGTTTCTCCATGTAGTTTTGGTGCCTGTCCTGGATCTCGCTCTGTAGACCAGGCTGGCCTCGAACTCACAGAGATCCGCCTGGCTCTGCCTCAGAAGTGCTGGGATTAAAGGCGTATGCCACCGCCGCCCAGCTCTAACTCACATTTTAAATGGATAACTCCAACTGTTATATGTTTTAAGGGGGAAAAGGCACTCACAATGAAATAAATCACTATTTTTCGTGGTGTTCATATTCTGAATATATTCTGAAGTCAGAGTAAGAAGATGTTCCCAACAGACCTGACACAGTGAATGGGGAAAAGAGAACCAAGGATGACTCAGTGCCTTGAGAAATATACTTAGCCTTTCAAGTTTAAGTTCTGTTATTTATAAAACAGGCATGATTATAGTGTCAACTTGACCAAACTGTTGGAATAATTCATTAGTATGCATAGAAAAATACCTAAAACGTACTGTTTTTTTAATTTTATATTTTTTTTATTTTTCTATTATCAGTTTGATACAGTATAAATTCTTATCCTAATAGTGAAATGTTTCATTGAGGCTTGCCTAGTAATTGAGTAAAATCAAAACTTATTATAAGCCACAGTCATCCTAGGGTCCCCCCCTCCTATATAGCTCCCCTGGTTCTGTGAGTTGCAGTCTGATTGTTTTTTTGCTTTATATCTAGTATCCACTTATGAGTGAGTACATACCATGTTGTATTTCTGAGTCTGAGTTACCTCACTCAGGATGATATTTTCTAGTTCTACCCATTTGCCTGCAAATTTCATGCTGTCATTGTTTTTCTCTGCTGAGTAGTACTCCATCGTGTATATGTATCACATTTTCTTAATCCATTCTTCAGTTGATGGGCATCTAGGTTGTTTCCAGGTTCTGGCTTATAATTTTATATTTTTTAATGCTTTTATTTATTTTCTGTTTAGGACCAAGAGGTTGTTCCCATGGCACAGTGCACATGTAGAGGTCTGAGGACAATTTGGAGTCTGCCTGGGACTGAACTCAGAGAGTCAGGCTCAAGGACAAGTATCTTGCGCACTGAGCCATCTTTCCAGCTCCTTCCTTCTAGTGTCTTCTCCAGGAAGCAGTTCTAGGACTTGCTTGTTTCTATTTTAGCTAATGTCTGGGTATACAGGGTACCACTGAGGTGAGGACTGAACTGATTCTGCCAGCTGGTCAGATTGTTCATTAGAAAAAGGGTATTATTAGCCTTTGTATCTTCTAGTAGACTGCCAATAAAAGGACAGGTAGGTGTATGTTTTGACTCTTCAAACTTCTGCTGAAACCTAAATTCATTCCAAGACTATGACTAACATTTAACTGCTTTTATAGAAATACATTTGTTTCATAGTAACAATTTTCGAGGCATTCAACTCTTTGTAGAAATTTATGCAAAGCATAGCAACTTTAGGTTTCTTTGGTTATTATAAGAGTTAAGCACACTAAATATATGAAACAAATCATATATACTAAATGATGTTACAGGTTTACACGTCTAACTATAAAAAAATTAAATTAGAAGTACCAATTGAGGATGGAATATTTTATTACTTAATTTCTACACAAAACTTGTGAATTTATGAGACAAACTAGAATCATTTCTAACTCAACTAGCCAAGGAGAACTAAGGATATAACATGCACGATCTGGGTTACTAACCCCTAATAAAAGATCTCAGCAGGAGTTTCTAGAAAAACATACACCACACAAGGTTGTGTTTTAGAAGTGACTGTCTTATATAGCAGTACCTAGAGCAGTTAGCAGTCAAGGTCTCTCAGATCTGCTAACAGAAGTGAGTGTCTGTGTTGATCAATTAATAGAAGATTGTCAAGAAAGAATAGAAACTCAAAGCTGATTTAAACTAGTTAGATCTAGATAGACAGAATACTGACAGGGATATAGGAAGGATCTGGATCTCTGTGAGTTCAGGGCCACATTGGAAACAGAGCCAGGTAGTGGTGGCACACACCTTTAATACCAGTATTGAGAAGCACACATGCCTTTAATCCCAGGAAGTGACATGGCTGGGCAAAGAAAGGTATATAAGGCGTGAGCAAACAGGAACTAAAGCAGTTCAGCTGAGATCCTTTCGTGTGAGGACTCAGGATTTTAGTCAGAGGATTTGTGGAGCTGGTGAGGTAATAGATTCTGGCTGTGGCTTGCTCTGCTGCTCTGATCTTTCATCTTTCACCTCAATATCTGGCTCTGGGTATTTTATTATAAGACCATCCAAGATTCAAACAACAAAAACTATAGGCAAATGAAGTAATAAAAAATTTAAACTTCTCTTGGCCTTAATATTCTTCCATCAATTTTGTTTGTTTGCCTGTTTGTTTGTTTGTTTGTTTGTTTTTTCCGAGACAGGGTTTCTCTGTGTAGTTTTGATGCCTGTCCTGGATCTCGCTCTGTAGACCAGGCTGACCTCAAACTCACAGAGATCTGCCTGGCTCTGCCTCAGAAGTGCTGGGATTAAAGGTGTGCGCCACCACCACCTGGCTCTTCCATCCATTTTTTTTAACCTATATAAAACTGGCTGTGAAAACCATGCCATCTCCATTTTTCCTAAAAAGAATTCACTCCTTTCCCTAGTGTTATTCTGTCTTCACCATTGCTATCATCCCTCAAGAAGGTACCAAGTACTATAAGCCTGGCAAACAAGCCAGGTCTGTGGGGAAGGGGGAGGGGGACACACACAGAACTATACCACCCACTCTAACACTCAGGAGTCATTACTATGCAGAAGCAGAGAAGATGTGAGAGCCCTGGCCCCTGGGATGAAGGCAACAAATGCCATCCTCTAGACTCAGTACAACCACTGCAATTATCAATTCACCACAACTGCAATTATCGATGTTGGGTCCATATTAGACTGGTCCTATCAACAATCAATCACAGAATGTGGAGGGACTCACTAGGTACTACTCTATACCTCTGATCTATTGACAGATTCTGGGAGAAGTGAGAATCACTGTCTTTACTTGTGATACCACTCCTAAGCACAGCATGACTCCAAGGGACAGCTCCAAACACATGGTTATACAGACAGCCCTGGTTAAACTCTGTGGGTCACAAAACAAAATTAACAGACTGAATGAGAGGTATTTTTGGGGACGAGGTAGGGCAGACAAGAGGTGAGAAATAAGAGTAGTCAGCAGGCATGCACACATGTGTAAAACTGTCTAAGAACAAATGTAATAAAAATAAAAACCAAAGACAGAGAAATAAGCTACCAGGACTTACTTGGTATCTATTAATTATCTAAATTATCTAAAGTGAACATAATTGAAAAATAAGAAATTCTCTTAGAATTCATTTCCTAAAGAAATCTAAATTATCCATAGCTTTAAATTTTATCTAGTTTGAGCAGAATCAGTATTTATATAACCATCACAAAAATCATGTTTAAAACAAGATGCTAATTATTTCAAGCAAGAAAAAAATAACACTGACCTGCATTGGTACAGGTTCCTTAAGATAATAGCCTTCAACAATCTGTTCTTTCCGATAGTGATCTATGATGTCCCCAATACTGTTAAAATAAATAACTGTATAAATTTCTTAGAATACAAGTAAACCATGTTACCAAGGATTATCTATTCATAAGTAGTCTTTGAAAGCATATACTCTGAATAATTAATAGAATACACTATCATAATAGTCACATTATTTTATAAAAAAATAAGATATTCCGAATACAGGTTTGCAGGTTGGAATATGTAAGCTAAAGATTGTGGTTCCATATCAAACACACAGCCAAGTCCATGATACTACACTCCATACTCAGAAAGTGACGACATTCATTGAGAAAATGATTACAAGTTATGGCTTTTGGTTTTCTGAAAAAACAATCTTTCCGACATATGAGGAACTAACAGACATGGCATTTATTTAGCGAATGATAAACTAAGAACTTCTGTCATCAAATCACACATATGCTTGCTTTTGCTTATACTGTCATTATGTCCTAACACGTGAGTAGTTAGGTGAAGATACAAGTCAAAGAAGAAAAAGGGAAAGGAGCAGACCTCTGCCTGTAGAGTTGTCACTGTGGCAGGGAAGGATTAAAGACTTGGATTAAAAAGTACCAACAATGTTTCTATGTATTTGGGAAATGTTACTAATGAAACTGAAAGTAAAAATGACATAATATAACACAGCTTAGGATGCCATCAAATATTTTTTGTAAAACATAAAAGTATATTCTATAATTAGTAGGTCAAATTAATGTCTAGATATTTAATTTCTAGAATTTTAAACTTTCATTTTATATACTAAATGGAGGAGTATTTTTAAGATACACAAGAAATATGTCTCCAAAAAGACTTTGTTAACCTGCCTCTTGATTTATTCTTCCCAGAGTTCTTCAGAATGACAGAGTAACTGTCGTATTTTTTTTTTGGTGTGTGTGTGTGTGTGTGTGTGTGTGTGTGTGTGTGATACAGTTTCAAGTATCTTTCCTATACTACAAAATTTAAATTAAATATAATATTCAAAAGTAAAATATGAAGATCAATAAAAATAACTATAAATACAGCTAAATATTAACACACAGTAGAAAGGTGGAATGAAAACAAGATTTTTTTTAGGAAGATATGGAAAATAATAAATTTTGAAAATAGGGTAAATCTAAAATTATTTAAAGAGAAATGAAAATCAGGAAGAACAAGAAGCAGCTGGACATGGTCACAAAGCTGACTGTTTTAAGGTAAAAAGTATCTTATCTATGGATGCATGGGAAGGTAGATGTAATCAGGTCATGATAAATGCAGGTATGGAAATTTCACAGTGAAACTCAATCATTTGTACAATTAAAATGTTTTCAGATTATATAAATGATTCTTGGTAAGAAAGTTTAAAATTAAATTTTAAACATCTTAAATGGAAGCACCCGGTGTGGGCGGAAAAAACTGCCGTCAGAAACTGCAGGTTATGAAATGAAAACTACAGTGCCAGCAGGGGGCTGCTTCCCTTAGAGGCAGGCCCCAACAATACAGGCTATCACCTCTACTGCTGACTGACCGTGACAACTACCTGAGAAAGAAGCTTCTAGTTCTGAAACTGCCACACCTTCAACACTGAGAAATAAAATGGAAACAAATCCGGAAGCTTCTTCCCTGTCACAGTTCTAGAAATTGCTATGCAAGTGGATGCAGAGAATTGTCAAGTTTCAGTTATGGACCCCTGTGCCACACTGCCAACCTATCAGGCAACTATTCTTAGTTATGGACCCCTGTGCCACACTGTCAACCTATCAGGCAACTATTCTTACAGGGGTAACCAACCATTTTCCATGGGAAACACATCTGGTACTGAAAAGCTGACCGAGCCCATGGCTGCAGCATCACAGGCTCTAGCAGGGAAGATACCACAGCTGCTGTTCTGGGAAGTGGACATGACGCACATCCACATAGGCTCTAGCAGGGAAGATAGTACAGCTGCTGTTCTGGGGAGTGGACATGATGCACATCCACATAGGCTCTAGCAGGGAAGATACCACAGCTGCTGTTCTGGGGAGTGGACATGACGCACATCCACATAGGCTCTAGCAGGGAAGATAGTACAGCTGCTGTTCTGGGGAGTGGACATGATGCACATCCACATAGGCTCTAGCAGGGAAGATAGTACAGCTGCTGTTCTGGGGAGTGGACATGATGCATTTCCAAGCCAAACACAGCAGCACACCTTGAAACTAGCTCTGGGAAGCAGAGGCGGGTGGATTTTTTAAGTTCAAGCAAAGTAAGACTGGTCTATACAGTACCAGGACAGCAAAGGCTTCTAAATAACTATGTTCATCCCCACAGGCTAGTGCTGTTGCCAGATCTGTCAAAGAAGGTTCTTTTTATAGTGCAAAACAGATCCTGCTGAGAATCACAACACTGTCTGCTGAACATTCAGCTATAATCTGACATCTTATCTCCCCTGCAAAACTCAGGGAACATTGTGGAAGAGGGGGCAGAAAGCATATAAGAACTGATTGAAGGGTGCAGTGCTGAAGACTGTCGTCCAGAGATGGCATGACCACTGCATTCGTGAACCATCATCAACTATTAACTGCACACCACTGCTAAGACTCAAACACCCTGAAATGGAGAAGGGAGGGCTCATGAGGGACACCCCTTGCTGGGGGTCAACAGGCAGTCAATAGTGGCCACGTAAGAGAAAGTTATTTTCTTCAGTTACTGCAGCCACTGGGAGAGTACTTATTTATAAAACGAATTTCTAAAGACACATCACGTACTTTAATTTAGTACCTATTACATAAAACTGTGTACATCTCTTCCTAAACTACACAAGTGTTAATCTTCAGTGTCTTACTAAAATCCCACTACCTTTTTACCATTACCTAAATTATACTCTTTTTAGTGATTCCCATGCCTGTTTGTTTTTTCTTTCTATTTATTACAACCTGAACACCATCTTTTCTAACAGTTCAGGGCGCTAATAATGTAGAAATGGTATTTTTTTTGTCCTTTAATTTTTATTCAGCAAATGTCACTAAATAGATTAGTCAATTTGTGTATGCTGAATTCAGTTTGGTGTTAAATGCCTCTCCTTTTCTAAAGTTGTGTCAAAGCTGTAGCTCAATATTACTTAGGAAACAGCAAAAATTTAAAGGGAAAACAGAATATCATAGTATGCCTGTTAGATTTCATGAATATTGTATCAGATATTCACATCTAAGTAACAGAAAATGTGTTTTCTTTTCAATTACTTCCTAGGAAAAATTACTAATAATGCTTTTTTCTGTGTTTAATTTGGGCCTTCTTTTTATTTTTATATTCTAGGTGCGTGAAAGCATGTGTGTACCATGGCATGTGTCTAGAGGTCGGGGGCAGCTTTTGAGAATGAGTTTATCTCCTCTCACCGTGGGTTCCAGGAATCAAACCCATGGTGTCAGACTTGCAAAGAATCTGGTTTTTGACTCTGAACTATCTTGTCAGCCTTCAATTTCATTCCAAGAATTAAGCAAACAAACAAAACTAGAAACAAGGTACCTGAGCATTTTAAGGTTAATATATCCATAGGGAAAAAAGTCAAGAAGTCGAATTTGGGGAGTGGTAGAGACCAGATTGAATACCATTTTGTAAGCACACTAATAATTTTGTAAAAATTGTAAAAAGTCCCTGAATTATTTCTTCTTGTTCCATTGTGGTCTCTAATTATAAAGACTACCTTTATAAATCTTACCAAGAGCCCACAGTTCCTAAAAAGATTTTCCATGTTTGCAGAGATAAAGAAGTTTGGATTAAAACAACCTTCAAAGTAACTAATCCTGTGTAAATGAAATCATCCTGTAGTACCATCCCTGAATGAAAATGGCTCCCAAAGACTCAGAGCACGGCACTATTACGAGGTGTGGCCTTGCTGGAGAAAAGTGTGTCACTGGGGGTGGGCTTTGAGGTTTCAGAAGCTCAAGCCAGGCCGTCACTCTCTCTTCTGCTGCCTGTGGATCAAAATACAGAACTCTCAGCTACCTCTCCAATACCACATCTGCCTACATACCACCAAGCTTTCTGACATGGTAACAGACCAAACTTCTGAACTGTAAGCATGCCCGAGTTAAATGTCATAGTGTCTCTGCACAGCAATGAAACCCTAACTAAGACAATCTTTAAAGGGGGAAAAAAATCTCAATCTTGATGTTTAGTAATTTAGTTGCATATGTATACTTTCAAATGTATGTTCCAAGTCTCCCAAAACCTTGATAATGGTAAAATCTAATTTAAGACAAATTAAAACTCTAGCAAACTAGATTCTAGGTGAAGATGTCTAAAACCAAGGTACTCAGTAGCTTAATAAGATGAGGTGTGCAAACATCTAAAATTATATCTTTCAATCTTTTTTAACCGTCCACTAAACTTCTGATAAGCAAAAGGTCTTACCACTAGATTTTTGTTTTTTCAAGATAAGTCAGCTGTTGAAGCTTTATGAATTTAAAACTCAGACTGGAATTTAGGGAATTCTAATTGAGATGGGGAATACTAGAGCAGTATTAACAAGCTAAGCAGGTAAATTTATTTTAAAAACAAGATTATGCAAGCCCACCAAAGAGGAAACAATAGTACTCTCTATTATCTTTTCTTTTCCAGAAGAATACTGCCGCTCTGTATCACAGTTTCCTCTACTAATTTCTAAAATTCATTATGCGTTTTAAGAGAAAGACAAAGTTTCTCATTAGTTGAGAGGTAAAAACAAATCACGACACACAAAAAGTATCAACTTCTTGAATAAGCCAATTACATGACATTTGTATAAATCAGGGAATTACCTACAAATAGCTTATACATAAATATTTTATTAAACAAGATATTTGGGAATTGACAAGTATTAATATTCATGTTTGATACTGTTTAAAGCACTCTCAGATAAGACTACAGCTATTATATTAGAAACTGAGGAAGTTTAATATATTTTGAGTCCAACTATTTTTGCCACAAATAAAAGATAATTTAATCTGTTTCATGATTTACCTGTTGTAATATCGACCTCCCATCATAAACTGGTTGTTAGGTGTTGGGCAAATTTTAAACCGCTGAATATTTTCATTGGTCCGAAAATACAAGGAATAATCACCAGGAGTATTATCTGAAGGCCTCACAAGAAAGCTGCAGACTTGGCCAACTGTAAAAATTAAGTTGTTAGCTTTATACTCTATCAAATAAAAAGAAAATATGTTAAGTAATCTAATTAGGAAGTATATTCAAAGTCATAACCACATGTAAATTTTTATCATAAAACTTTAGGACAGCGTTTCCTATTTTAATTTTATGATTTACAACCACTCATATTGTTCCTAATTTATCTTAACTAGTTTTATTTCCTAAACCTATGGAACTGAAAGTCTGCAACAGTAACTTCTGGAGTAAGGCAGAAAGAACCACCTGACAGTGCCAGTAACTCGAACTATTACATCATATGGTAATCTCCTAAAGAAAGTCTTCAAAATTAAACTCATTTTGCCCAATAGTCTATACTTTCTCTGGATTTCCAATTAATGATTAAAAAGCAAATGGTTATATAACGGTATCAGTGCTTACAAAGGTAGGTTCAAAATAACTTAAGTATCTGAGTATATTATCATAGTCAATAAATACATCAGATAATTTACTCACTAGGTATCATCCTGAAAAGGTGCACACAAAAGACTATCTTCAATTAGCAATAACTCCTAATACCATAATGTTTCCTTTGTGGTTAAATACTGGTTAACAGAAAGATTAGGAATTGACTCTTGTAAGACAGCATAACTAACACAATATCACATGTAATTCTTGTATAAATGAGTAATAGCTCCAATCATCTAGCTTAGGCTCTTGCTATCAATTGTATTGGTGTTCGATACAAAGAAGTAAAAAGAAAATCTTCTTATATTGAGTTTTCAAAGTTCAGCTTAATATATAAGTAAATAATAAAAACCTGTACAAACTGTGCAATTTAATATATGATAAAGAAATTTCTTGGTGACAATGCTGATACTCTGTTTCTTCTTCAATGTAAAATAGGAATCATGTGCAAATTTATACATGAATGTGCTTGTGTAGTTTCGGTAAAGTGTCCACTCTTTCTAAAAGAGTGTAGGAATGAACAAAAATACAAACTAACGTGAGAAATGTTTAGATTCTTTTCTTTTTCTTTTTTTTTTTTTTTTGATTTTTTTGAGACAAGGTTTCTCTGTGTAGCTTTGCACCTTTCCTGGAACTCGCTTTGTAGACCAGGCTGGCCTTGAACTCACAGAGATTTGCCTGCCTCTGCCTCCCGAGTGCTGGGATTAAAGGCGTGTGCCACCACCGCCTGGCTCTTTTCATGTTTTGACATCTAAAAAATAATGGATACTTCAAGTACTTGGTGATTCAATATCTAAATATAAACCTACACTAACAGCTCACTAAAATTAGTATTTTTGGTTCTACCTGAAAAGCTGATGACATAGCACTCTGGTTTAAACTTGATCTCTATATCTAGCATTGGCATATTTTAAACTGTTTCTGAACCTACTAAGTACAGGTTAAAACATTAAGCACTTCAAAAACTGCCTCAAATCCTATATGTGAATAAATCATTGATTTAAGATGTAATGATATATCTTAAAACAACTAAGGCCACATATTTAACAATTACTATTTATTTACTATAGTTACCTATTTCAGGGTACCCTATAAAATACAGGAACTACCAATTTTTCAAGAACCACAACATCTAAAATATATATAATAGATTGTTCTTGTCATCAATCTTTGTCAAATATAGTTTACTATTAAATATCTGATAGTTAAATTAACCTCACAATGAACAGTAAATAATAAAGAGCAAAGTAACATAGTTGTTACTTTAAATCACTGGTCCTCAACCTTCCTAATGCTGCAACCTTTAATATAGTTCCTCATGTTTTGGTGACCCATCCCAACTATAAAGTTAGTTTATTCCTATTTCATAACTGTAACTGTGCTAATGTTAGCAATTGTAATGAATATTTTTGGTGATAGAGGTTTGTTAAAGGGGTCATGACCCACAGGTTGAGAACTGTTGCTTTAAATAATAAACCCTTAATGTAAGTAAACTTAATTGGCATCTTCCTCTAACAATCAGAAAAATTAGGAATGCATTTTAAATAAGGCTCAATTATGTAATTCCACCCTGCACACAAATAATACAAGAATGTATATTGGTGCATGCCTTTAATCCCAGCACTCAGGAGGCAAAGGCAGGTGGATCTTTGTGAGTTCGAGGCCAACCTGATCTACAGAGCGAGTTCCAGGACAGCCAGAACTACACAGAAAAACCCTGTCTTGAGGGGAAAAAAAAAAAAAAAAAAAAAAAAAAGTACAATATAAATAAATGGAAAAAGAATGATAACATGGAATTCCTCTACTGATACATTGCATGTTATATGGTATTTGTAGACTAGAACTTACATGACCAATAAAAAGAATGACAAAATTTGTATTTGTAAATATGAAATGTTTTCTTAAAACATTTCTTAACATTAAAAAGTATATTATGTATTCTTCTAAGTATATTATATGTAGGATAGCCCTGAGCTACATAAAACTTATGTATCACAAGATCATAAGCTGTAACACATGGGGAAGGAAACAGGGACAGTGGCTAGGGAAGAAGAAAAATATACTTCACAGGGTTTATTAGACATGTACGTTTTAACCTAAAAAAAAAAAAAAAAAAACCAGAAAAATATCGGTTTCCAAGCATTGCAAAGAAAATACAATATGCATAAGTATTAATCAAATGGTAAAGGAAAGCACAGCACATGAGAAAAAGTTGTTTCAATTTTATACTTTATAAATAGAGACACTGAAGAATACAAAGGTACCTGTCATTAATAAATTATAAGCTTCTTGTTTGGAAATCTTCCCATGGAACCATCTTTAAAGAGAACAAACATGACATGTAAATCAAAAGTCCACATGCTGATGCTTTCATATACTCCAAAGTAAGCAAAGTTTTCATAATTCACACTGACATGAAATAAACGTGATCGAAATGACACTTCATCCATTACATTTCTATTGTGTTTTAGAAACTTACTGTGCTTTATTTCAACAAAGTACCAAAAAACTAGAAACTGTCAAGTAAAATTTTAAACTACAATTTCCATATTAACTGTAATATTTTTTAAAATACTGGTTTTAGTTCTAGGGTTTGAGTTCTAGTAGTATCTGTTACATGCTTATATCACAGCTCCATTTTCCCTTGGATGGCTTGTAGGGGATAGGGGAGATAATAAAGACAGAACCAAATTATTTTTCTTGTCTCTCTCAAAATTAATTTTCTTTTAACATAAGATCTCTCCCAATAAAATTAAAATGTTAAAGAACAAGTCCATACCAACAGAAAGAACTTAACCTATTTTTAATTCTGAGCTAATAGTCTATCAAACTGGACTGCTAAAGAATTTTATAATCTGTATTCTGGAATTAAGCATTTAGAAATTATTATGAACTGTAACAGCTGAAAATATGGCACAATAAAATTTCAAGTACTTAGTATTTACCTTTACATAAAATGACATGTTAAAAAAAATTACTTAAGGATCAGGAGTGGTGGTGCATCCCTTTAATCTGAGAACTTGGGAGGAAAAGATCACTATAAATTTAGGCCAGCTTGGTTTACACAGTGAGATCCAGGCCAGCTGGGACCATACAATAAGACCTTGTCTCAAAAATAAAATAAATCCAATCATTTAAAAGTCAAAGTCCTGAAGTTTTCCCTCTTATTTAGGTGAAATCCCACTGTCTCTCACTGGTAATCTCAGATCACTTCTCTACCACTCTGCTGCATCTTCTTCAAGTCTACAATGACTTGGAGTAATGAGTTAAGTTCCAGCTGTATAGGACATACTACAAGACAGAAAACATGAGTGCTCTAAGATGCAATGCAACAGGCTTAAAGAGCATTCATTCTGTTTCATTAATCATTCTATTACTAGGGAAAGTTAAAATACTACTTAATTTTCAAGTAAATGAAAAATTAATCTTTAAAGAAATTATTCCAATCATTAAGTTATTAATTCAAATTTCCTGATGCTCTCTGAGCAGACATGAATAATGAAGAGGAAATAAACAATACAGTCTAGAATGCTCTAAAATGTATGAGACTATACACTGCATTCAAGTAAATGCTAAACTACCATTTACTACACATGCTAGAGTGGATTTCTATATTCTTGGAGAGCTGGCTAGATGGCATCCAAGACCAACCCTAGAGTTTTCTATCCAGTAAAAATAAAACCCAGAGAGTTTTAAAACTCTTAAGAGTTAAGTTTTAAAGATGAATAATATTTTGAACTTTAAGAAAATAACCTTGAGGCAAAGGGGCAATATTATTTCTTGGAGTTATTCTTGTATAAAACTGATATAATTTATAAAGTACATGATTTGTACTCAACATAATAGTCCTTGCTCTTAAGAAGTTCAGACTCTGGTTAGGATAAAACAGTGTAAAACTACAGTAAGTACAGTGATGAGTACGTGCTGGGGAGTTTGGAGAGTAATGGAGAAAGGCACAAGTCTTCAGCATATGTAAGGAACATTAAGATTCACTGAATGTAAATTTACTAAGTTAGATAACTACATAAACAACTGAAGGGTAATCCTCGCCTGGGAAGCAGCTTAGTAAAACATAAAGATAAAAAATAAAGCCATGCACCAGAAAAGTTTACAAAGGGCAGAGTGAGGTAATAAGACTAATAAAAGGTACAGGAGACAGGTACTCTAAGTATTAGAACAGAGAATGTGAGGAGACTAATGATTTGGAGTGCCCAGCAGAAGTTGGCTGTTATACCAGATACTACTAAGAATGAATATAATAAAGTTATTTATGACTGAAAAGAAGGCACATAGTCAATAAATATTTTAGAAGAAAATAATTATTAGAACTTAGTATTGCCTACACAGAAAATGTGGAGTATAAAGAAACTAAGTTAGTCATACTAGCTATTTAATCTCAAAGGGGATTCATTGTGCCTAAAGGATACTTTAAAAGATTTCCAATACTTCACTGCCAGAGTCTCTACTTTAAATACTAAAGAGAGTAAGCACATACATAAAATAAATCAACATAAAATTTAACTTATGCTAAATACCACATAAAGTTCAGAAAAATATAAGACTAACGTATTAACAGAAAACTTCCCAGTGAAGTCTTATACTTGACATTGAAAAATGAGTGAAGTTTTAAACATTTACTGGCATCTGTAGATCTGTACTCTTAAAACAGGGATACGAGGAATTTACACTTTCTCTTGAAAATCTAAAGGATTTCATAATATTGAACTCAGATTCATTTAGTGTGTGTGTGTGTGTGTGTGTGTGTGTGTGTGTGTGTGTGTGTGAATGCCTTTACCTTCTGAGCCATCTTACATGCCCCATGAATTCACATTCTTGCACATATTAACTAGACAGAGTGGTCACCTTAAGACATGCAAAAAACTTGCAAGTTTTCTACTTCTCATAATCGGTAATATTAAACAATTAATGTCAATTGCCATTTGCTACCACTCAGGCTGCTGTCCTCTGACAAGAGGGAAAGACATGATTCTTTGCACTATGATCTCTATCAAGATCAGGATTATTGTGTTTGGAGAAAAATGGGAATATATGTATGTATGTACGTACGTACGTACATGCACACATTCATTCACACACATACACATACACACACACACATTCCAATCTACTTTTGTTGTGAATCTGATTCCTTCAAGCATTAACTAGAATTTGAAACTGCTGATACAGACTTCAAACACAATCAACTAGGTTGAGTTGAGCAATGGAGGCACTTGTATCCATATGGAGTAGTAATATAAGAATGTACTCTGCCGGGTGGTGGTGGCACACGCCTTTAATCCCAGTACTTGGGAGGCAGAGGCAGGCGGATCTCTGAGTTCCAGGCCAGCCTGGTCTCCAAACCAAGTTCCAGGAAAGGCGCAAAGCTACACAGAGAAACCCTGTCTCGAAAAACCAAAAAAAAAAAAGGAATGTACTCATAAGATATAATATAGTCTATTAATAAAAAGATAATAAAAGAACTACATGTTGAATGTTCAATTTAATGTACTTCCTCTTCTAATGGCTAGAGAACAAGAAAACAAAACATTTGTGGCAAGCTTTAAATACCATCTATAAATGCTGACAGGTTGATTAAGAAAAAAATGCACTGAAAAGATAATAGATGAACACTCTATTGAAATAATATGAATAAAATAGAATATGATTGAAGGCTAAGATTTTAGAAGGAATCCTGTACACATAAAAGGAGTCGAAAAGGCTTACTTTAAAAGACCTTGCTTGTTTATACTAAGATTGTCAGAAGTTCTCTCACATATGCATACTAAAAACTGAGTTTAAAATTTCATTAATGATTTGGTCACAAAAATAAGAACTACTACAATTAGTAAGAAAATGAGGAAATAGGAGGAGCTGTACTGGTCATTAAGATGCAACATAATCTTTACTGACAAGGCTTTAGTTTGGGGATACGAGATTCATATACAGGTATAGGCTACTGTTTGTTTAAAACTAAGAATTTAGTATTAGATTCTTAAGAAGTATTTATATATCAATTCTCTGAACCAAATTTAAAAAATATATCAGTCTAAAATTCATTAAGTATTTTTGACTATTTTTCTAATTTACAGTTTTACATTATTGTTTTTCCTTTTAATAATTAATACAAACTCACATTTTGCCTTCGTGTGGATCTTCTTCCCGGCCCTAAAGGGAAGAGATTAAGACAGCATAATTTTTAATTTTATGAAATTAAATCTTAATCTAATTTCATGAAAATTCCTAAGAATTCGATCTTCAAAACTATCTCCAGAATACTTTTCATAGTTGTTAGGAGAAAAGATGTTTCCGTTCAAGAACTGTCACTATGTAGTTCTCTGTTCTCTCCTCTCCATGTTGTCATCAGTTTAAATCAGACCCTTTCTTCTTTTCTTATAAACTATTAAGGTAGTAGTCCCAACTACAGTATAATTACCCCCTCCAACCTCTCTGAATTCCTAGTGTCAACTGTAGATGTGCACTTAAGAATAAACAAACCAAATGGACACACACCTTTAAAGCAAACCTTTACTTTACTACCCTCTTTCCTGCCTACAGATTTATTTTACAAGAAACGCCCTTAACCATAGGCCTCAAGTATATATTTCCTGCCTCATACTACCCACTTTCTAGGTGTCAATGTCATGGTCACACGTAACTACGCCTTTGCTAATCTATTTCACCTCTCTTCTGTAGCTTGCGTTTGATGTGATAAGTGCTGTCAGAATGTCCTCTCAACTACTGCTACCTACCTGTTTTAAAAAAGCAAGCCATTAAGCAAAACTACCTCAAATCCTACCTCCTGACAGTCAAATATTTGACACTAAAATGTGAGCACTTTCTTTTCTGTGGAATATAAAATACATCCTCTCTCTTTCTGCCATCTTTTAAACCTTATCTTACTCTAGTCTGTACTCTGGGATTTAAAGCTATTTTAACACTATTCATTCCAAAATAGTGACTATCTTATTAAATTCTAAGCTATTCTCTATAACATCACCACCACCCCAAACACTGAGTATATACTGAACTATAGTTGTAGCAGCTTACAGTGAGTTTTCAATGAACTGATAATGAAAGAAAAAAATATTAACAAGGACTTCTCTTAATTAGTTCCTTACTAAGTATTTAGTCAGACTAAAATCAAAGTCAATGAATGCTTACTATAGGAACTACAAAATGAGCATTATAACTACCCTCTTTTTAAAAAGTGGTCTAAATGTTTTAAGTACAATGGAATATAGAACCAATGAGTACTATGAAAATAAAGGTAGAAACAATTTGACCTAGAAAAAAAATCTCTGAAAAAAAAAAAAGAGGGTGACAATTGAAGTGAGCTAGTAACAATGAATTAAGTTTTGCAAGGCAACCCAACAGGCCTAGAGTGTGAAGAAGAGGAACCCTTATAGGCATGGAGACATTACACTCATCTACCCAAATTTACAGATGCCAGAGTAATCTAGGCAATGGGGATCTATCAGTGAGTCAGAACAACACCAACAAGAAAAAGATGCCTTTTCCTGGAGCATACAACTCACAGGTAAGACTTAAAAATGTGAATGTGCTTAGAGAATCCTAGTTAGAATTTCAGAGAGGAGAATACCAGTCACATCTTCATTATCTAGACATTGTCCAAGCGGCTTTTCAATCTGCAAAGAATTCACTAACTTCCAATAAACCCACTGTGTAAAATTATACTAAATATCACAGTAAAAACCACTTATATTTCTTAGAATGAATAATTTGCATTATGACTATATTCCTTTTTAGCTACCATACCACACTGTTCTTTTATAATGAATTAACTTTTTTGTTTCATTCTCTGTGTTCATGTTAGGTAATGTCCCCTTATCCTATACTGGACTATTCTTTATTATTCTTCTGCAGACACTTGCTAACCTTCATTTGTTCTTACTAAAGTTTATTTTGTTAATTTTGATCCAGAAATTCAATACTTCAGTTAAAGTACAACTATATTTTCACTCCCTTTCATAATCAGAATAGAGAAGGGTAGTATAATAGGCAAAAGGAAGCCTAACATAAACAAAACCTAAAAGTTTATAAGAGAACTAATACAGACAATAAGGTGCTTCAGTCTGAATGCTCTGCCTGTGTGCCTCTAGAATTCTGAACGCTATTTAAAGAACTGTAAATTATAATCCAAAATCTTTCGCTTTGTATGTAACTATGAATACAAGATGTATCACATATAACTTCCATAACTCCTTCTAACTTTCCTCAGCATGTTTTATGCTTGTGAATCAAGATCTAGTTGCCAGAATAGGCAGACAAAAGAATCAGTAGCCAAAAATAAAAACAAAACAAAACTCTGCCATCGTCCATAGACTCTTGGGGGAGGAGGGGGTAGGGGAAATGGGACATTAAAGATCACAGAAAGCCATTCCTACCACAAAATCTAAAAGGGAAAGGTAAATTCCAAAATCACAATGTTTAATACATTTTGGTGGTACTGTGAGTATTGTCTATAAAGCACAAACACTGCTTGAATGCTGATCTGCATCTAAAAATATATGGGGCAATTTATATTATGTACTAAGATAAATAATAATATATAATATGATAGGAAAGAAAACAAGGGGAATATTCAAACTGTATGAATTTGGGATTATTTATGTGTAATATAATTAAAATTTTCCTAGATTATTAGAAATTATACACACATTTGAAACCATTTAAAATTCCTCTGATTCAAATATACGTAATGAAGAATAGGAACACAAAAATATAACAAAATAAGTACAAGTGATAGTTAAGAAGTAGAGAAGTACTTTCTGCAAAGGCAGCTATATATTATAACATACTAATATACTGTTTATTTCCTTATAAATAAATATTATTTACTAACACCAAATACATCTTAAAATTTCTTTGTGCTTATGAATTAAAAGCTTTCACGAGAAATTTGTCCGTATCTAATAACCCAGAAAATGGATAAGTTCTAAACTTTTATAAAAGACTCAGGATCTGAAATTTAGGAAAATATGAAACTCACCACCTCTTCTACTAGGTCTTCAACAATAAGGCCTTGCTCATCTGTTCTTAGATTTGTAACCCACATCCATCCATCTTCTAATTCATTGTGAACAATGAACATATCTCCTTTTAAGAAACTAAAATAGCAAATGACATTAAAATTTTAAAAACGGACATCGAAGTATTCCTAAACCACCACACTGGATATTATGCTATTAGAAAAATGCAAAAACACTTATAAAATTTAAAAGTTCTAAGCTGTTTCTGACATCTTTTGTGAAAATAAAGAAAGTTAATAATCTGAATCCTAATTTCATTATATGTACAACTTCATTATAGGTTTGATAAGGGTGTCTAGTTTGCTGGATTACATTCAAATTAGAGTTCCTCTATCTACTATCTACTTTGTTAGATTAGATTGAAATTAGAATTCCTCTAAATAATAAACAATTATATAAGCATTAGAAGTAGTTCCAAGAAAACTGAATTTTACAATTTAAATTTCAATGTTGTTATTCTTTCGTATGTATGACAAATGTAATAAAAAAACGATATATAATTAACAAAATATGAGAAAGTAAATTCAGAAAATTTCCTTTAGATAGTCACACTTGATTTTATTATGCAGACACTAGTATTACTTAGCATTGATAATCACACCTTATTTCATTCAAATGCCTACTGTGCAGAGTCCAGTGTTCTTTGTCTAAGCATGGCACCCAGACATGTGTCAGTAGCCATCCATGCTTCTTTCCCTACTACATATTTCACAGTAGATGGATGCACACAGCTTAGCTTCCTCTTTACTACCTAGATGTTTTTAAGCTCTACACCATGAGCAGATGTCAGTTGTTGATTGATGTGTGTCATCAGTATAAAACAAAACCATCAGGAATTCCTTGCAATTTTTCTTCCAGGCTTAAAAAATGTCTCTAAAACATTCTTCTGGTTAGATGCTGCCATTGACCATATTTCTATAAGATATCTTCATATATTTTTCAGTAATTTTCTCTGTCTTAATACTCATAAATTTTAGTTCTACTAAATGAATTTTTCTGATATATTTGACAGTTTTGTTTTCTCTAAATGATCATAACCTTTATTATTTCTCAAATTTCAGAAAACAAAGCTTGTACAAAGCAGAACTTACACATAACATTCTCATTTCAAGAGCCACAGAATAATACTATCTTGACTCTTAAGTCCTCCTTAATGGTGTCCAGTATTTTCCGAGATAAATGGCAGCAGATTTTACAACTTAACTAAATAAATAAAGTCCTTCTAGAACCACTTTTCCAGTTGCTGGGATAACAGACACATACCATTACATCTACATGGAAGTGTTTTCTCATTTACTACAAGAAATACTAGAAAGATGTCCACCAAAGGTCAAAACACAAGAGATCAGCACTTTGCTTCCTCAGTCAGAAGATCAGATGATGCTCTTTTTGTTCAGCCAAACAGCACACTCCAGTGCTGCTCTCTGTTCTGTCCTCAGACTCGGACTTACACTGACTCCCATGGTCTCCTCGGGCCTCGGGACTTAGTGCAATTATAGCATTGGTCTCCTGAATCTACCTCCAATTCTTGAAGTAAATCTTCTCTGGAGAAGCCCAGAATACACATGGACTCTCGAGTCTCAGATCAACAATTAGATGGAATATACTATGAGAACTACAGCCTTAGATGATCAGACTGGAACTTTACAAATTTTCTAGAACTTATATTTCAATACTACTTACTTAAGTGACTTTCTTCCTCTTAGTTGCTTTTATTCATTTTCTCACATTAACTCACAAATAAGTGTATCAATAAGAATTAAATGAGAAGTCATTAGATTGACGATAACTATGTAAAAATGGAACCTTTGAGATGCAAACTAAGTGTTTTCTAATAATTTCCAAAACTTTTAGTACCAGAAAAAAAAGTTTTTATATTTTATCATACTGTTATTTCAAAGAGAAACTATATAGTCAATAACTATTCAGAAGCAGCAAACCATTTCATAGTTAAGAAGCAAGATTTCTACTGAATGATTAAATAGCTTTTAGAAAAGGATAATTTATCAAGTTTTATAATTAATTTATAATCATATTAAATACAAATACAAACAAAAACTATGTTGCTCTAGTTACACAATAGTCTTGAAATTTAAAATTATTTGCCCACTATGCAAAAATCAAAAATTATTTCAGTATCATTTATAGCTAAGGTATAAATGTTATGGGTAATAAAAACCAGAAAATAAACAAATAAATAAAGAAATAAACCACTCACAAACTATGAAAGAACTCTACTTTCTCAGAATTTTTTTTATTTAAAAAAAAAAAAGCTGTTATTTCTCCTGTCATTTTCACTGTGGCCACCCTGATTCGTATCTTCAGTCTGAAGAGACAGGACATCCCATGGGAACACAACAGATCAAATACTAAAGGCAATAGCTATCCTATTTCCTCAAATTCAAAACCTTTCCTAGTTTAAGAGCAATAAATCTTCATTGTCTAGCTCTTTCAAATGCTTATAAGAAATAGTATAAAATACCTTATTTCATCAGTGTCTGGTACTTTCGTGTAGGGTAGAATGGCTCGAACACGCCTTCTATCTTCTACTGGCTGAAAACCATTAAAAATAATACTTAGGGGCTGGGAGATGGTTCATGTCTTTGTAGCTAAAGCCCCTATCCCACAGCCTGAAAACCCAAGCTAGAGCCACAGAACCCACATAAAAATCATTACAGGTGACAGGTGTGGCAGCTGCTGCCTGTAATCGCAGCATTTAGGAGGCAGGACCAGGGCCTATCTGAGGCAAACTATCAAGACAAACTAACCAAACTGAAAAGCCCTGGGTTCATCTAGAGACTTTGCTTCAATTAATCAAGTACAGAACAACCAAGGAAGACATCTGATGTCAACTTCTAGCCACCAGTCATGAGTATGCACATGCAACCCTGACACACATGCCCTACACATATATGAGCTGCATACACAGTCACACACATATACATAACTTATGCACACAATCAAAGGAAGATTGTCTCTGTATCCAAGTCAAAAAAGATATATCCACACAAAGCTTAAAGCCAACTGCATATTATAAACTCCATAGGATCATTCAAATTAATCTTTACTGAGCCTCTATAGAGAACCTAGAAATGTTTACTACTCTTGCTTGTTATTTTTACAGAAATTACTGTAAAAATATAACAGATTTTTTCAGTTAATCTGAACAATCATTAAATAAGCTACACAAGGCATGGAAATTAATCTTCATTTTATAATATAATGTATAAAATTTATAATTTTAACTTACCTAGCAATTACGGTAAGCTATAAATGCACAGAATTATCTTAAAAATCTAGTTACTTAAATACAAAACTATTTTAATAAGGAAACTATGATTTTTGTTCTAGCATTATAACCAGAAATAAAACAAATACTTATAAAATTATAATAGAATAAGAAATTTAATTAGATCAAAATTTATCTGATTTTGGAAAATAAATTTCATGATATTTCATTCAAGTTTACTTGCCTCTGGTGGTGCAACGGGATAGAGTAATTTTTCTCCTTTAAGTAAACAAGAAACATGACTGTAATAACCTATTAGGTCTGAGAGTGAAGAAAAACGCCTTCCACCAATGTAGTAATCTCCACACATAGCAATAATCCTAATTGTAAAGGAAAAAAAAAACAACAACAAAACATAATTTCAGTCTTTCTCAGTCTCTTTTTTGAGTGGAAATTAAACCCAGGTTCTCTATCTTGGGGGCTATGTCCCTCTAGTACCTATGTTCAATTTTTTATTATTTTTATTTATTTATTTATTTATTTTGGTTTTTCGAGACAGGGTTTCTCTGTGTAACAGTCCTTGCTGTCCTGAAACTCGCTTTGTAGACCAGGCTGGCCTTGAACTCACTGAGATCCACCTGCCTCTGCCTCCCAAGTGCTGGGATGAAAGGCATGAGCCCCCACCGCCCAGTTTCTATGTCCAATTTTTAAAACCAAGTTTTATAAAGACAATAATTTTGTCAATTTCATACTCTTTTCCATTAACATACATTCCTGTACTTCAAAAAAACACTTATTCATATCATCACTAGTAACTTAGTATTATTTTTTAAGTATTTATAAATTTAATATGACATCGTATTTACAAGTCTCGATTATGTAACTGAACCAAATACTTTAAAATTTACCCTCAGATATCTCCCCTCACTTCTATATTTAAGACTCAGCAATTTTACTTCTCTGGCTAGAAGTAGCTTACAAATCTCTTGAAATTCATGTAAAATGTAATAAAAATGCTACTTAAAAGCTATGATCAAATATTATCATTATGAAATTATATTTCTTAATTTATTAACTTTGTGAAAAAGTTATATATGTAGTTAAGAATGACAGTATTCTTAAAACTTACTCTAAAATTTAAAAGTCAAAGGCATAAGAACATTTTATCAGTTAATACTGGCTGTAGATGATTTGTGTTCTATTATCTACAATAAAAATATAGTATCTGTAAATATATTTGTATATAGATATGACACCTTACTTGAAAAATATACATACCTGTCTATCTCACAAAAGTGAACATGTACAGAATTTCAAGATAGTGAAGCTAAAGGAACTAAGGACAATTTCAACCTCTATACAGTGTTTTCTATATTTTCTATTACTATTACTATAGTCTAGTCTATATTTCTTTCATTTTAGCCTTCATTTTTTTCAAAATGTACCTGTAATAATATATTCCTATGAGGAATATATTTCAAAACTGGCATTGTAAAGATTAATATTACTATCTTTAAACAAAAAGTTTAAGCATTTCAAAAATATTTACTCTAAATCACTGATTAAATAACTTAATTGAAATCAAGTTTATTATACCAATATCATTCACTTTTGTAAAAGTGGAGATATTTATAAATATGTGTCAGATTCAATACCAAAGTGCCATATTAATACCTTAAACTAGGAACAAAGACTTACCTAAAATGGTTGACAACATTTGTTTGGCTAAGAAATGAAAGCACAAAGGACCCCGGCCTCCGATCACTCTCTCTTATAAGGTAGCTTCCAGATTTTCCTGCCTGCCTGAGACGCTCTTCTGCTATGGTTCTATCGAGTTTTCCATGATACCACCTAGGGGAGAAACACAAATAACTAAAATAAAACAGTCACCATAAAATTTCTGTGCAGATTGAAAGACATAATACTCTTTTAAACATTCACATGTAATTTAAACATTTGTTTAGTCTGAACAATTCAATTTTAACTCCATTTTTCACCTGCTCTCAATTTCCCTAAGAACACTGATTCACAAGGTTTTTTAATCTGTTCTGCACAGTCAAACCCTGTATCTCATTAACGAATATCTTCTTTTCCTCAACCCCCTTGGCTCCAGGTTTACCTATATTTGCTCAAAATAGAAACATTTATTGTATTAAATTCTTTCCTGGACTCAGTAAGATGAGTGATTAGAAATAATTTACAACAACTCTATATATTAAGGAATCCATCTGACATAACAAAGTACTTGGAATCAAGTAGAAAATAATATTTACCTAATTTTAATCTTACTACCCTATTTAAACTATTTAACTATTTAAAAGACTGCTATTTGAATTTCCTGTTTTAATAGGAAATTGATCATTGCCCTGGATTTTAAGACAACCTATATCATGACCATATATTTAAGCTCAACTCTTCTCAGAGGGAAAACACAAATGTTTTTATGTAGAAATTCAATTGCCAGGGAACTCTTTGTTACCTGAATTATATGGTTGTGTAGCTGATCATACTAGTTCAGAACTCTTCTGGAACTTTCAAAATGTTAGCCAAATTGTCTTACACAACGCCTGTCTCTTCTAAAATTGGTTATTTCAGGCTGGTGTTAAGTTTACTATTTGCTCAAACTATAAACCGTCAAAGCAAATGAAGTACAAACAATTCAAAGGCCACTGCGAAAGACTCCAATCTTCCTCTCAGCCAAACTAGAATGTTTGTTGTATCACAGATAATGTTTAACACACATCCTTTCACATAAAATCTCATCATCCTGCTTCTGCTTATCAAAATGTGTCAAGATCTTATCAAATGTAAACCCATTTATAAATCTACAGCTGGATACATTATGTTCTTCTTTTAAACTATACTACATAGGGATATTAATCTACCTCTGTCTCGTTTTTTAAAAATCTCAAAAGGAAAAGCTTTCTCTCACAGAGAAAGTTTTAACCAGACAGGGTGTTTCATTCAACCTCAGTTTTCATGTACATGGGAGGTAGAAGCAGGGGGATCAGGAGTTCAAGATTCTCACTGGCTGCATAGCAAGTTTAAGGTCAGCACAAACAATATGAGATGTCATCTCAACAAAGAGAAATAAAAAAAAGGAGGGTTTTGCTTAGGATTTCAAATAAAACTTGAGGAAAAAAAAGTAGAACACATATGCCCTTGGTCATTTGCCATACTTGTCCAGTGTTATGATTAAAAGTATTTTATTAATCATTCCTAACTCTCCCATCCATTTTTGAGACAAAACATTTGCTGGATCTTTCCATCTGAACCAACAAGTCAATCCAAGCAAGTTGATGATGAAAAAGAAGAAGGAGGAGGAGGAAGAGGAGGAGGAGGAGGAGGAGGAGGAGGAGGAGGAGGAGGAGGAGGAGGAGAAAAAGGAGAAGAAGATCACCTCATACCCCACCCCATGCCTCTCCAGGATATGGCTAAATTGTTCAGTTTGGGTTGGAACTCACTCTGTAGCCTAAGTGGGCTATGAACTTGTGATCCTCCTGACTCAGTTTCCAGAGTAGCTGGGCACAGGTCTATAGGCCTAGCCTAACGTTTCTACATCTTTTTCTCTCTGCTCCTTATCATTACTTGTCATTAACATCAATTCAAACCATTCCCTTCCCCCACCCCTCTGATTTCCCCACCACTTCCCTTAGAACTCTAAAGAAACATTTTTAAATAATAGTTATTCAAGGTGGGAATATAGCTCAGTGGTAGAACAGTTACCTAGATGTCCAAGGTTCAACTCCCAGCACCACAAAAAAAATTAAGAAAATGAATTTATTAAATATAAAATAAATCAAGAAACAGAAAAGCATAAGGATAAAATAGAAGCATAAAAATCAAAACATTTAAAAGTAAGTAATCAAATTGACAAATTAAGAGCTAAATGAGATTACCAGGAAATTAAGCATATTTTTAAGAGAGAGATTAACTTGAAAACAGAAAATTTGCTTACAAAAGAACAAAATCAAATAAGAAAATACAGAAGAGAAGGTAAATGATGAATACAACATAACTTGCATACATGTGATGAGGTGATTTGACTGACATGTCATCCAGAGCTCTGGGCATTTACATATTGGTCCCAGTTGGTGGCACAGTGTGGGGAAGTTGAGGAGGTGTGGCCTTGTTGGAGGAGGTGTGTCACTGGAGGCTGGTTTTGAGAAATGACCCAGCCACACCCAGTCTGCTCTCACTCCTTTGAGCTTCCTGCATGTGCCATCACGCCTTTGTCCCACTGCCGCAGACTCATGCCTCTGAACCACAGTCCAAATGAGCTTCTCTATAAGATGCCTTGGTCATGGTGTTTTATCACAACAATAAAAAAGAAACCAAAACATGAGGAGTCCCAAAAAGGAAGCAGGAAAGAAAACAGAAGAAAAAGTAAAATCCAGAGAAAAATCTAAAAACTTCCCAGTCCAAGAAAGTCATTAACACAAAAAATTCAAATTCCATATATGCCAAATAAGAAAAAGCAATCAGGCAAATACAAAAGCAGACTAGCTCACATTAAGGTGTAGCCAAACAAAGTTGCTAAAATCCAAAACAAGATTAAACTATAAAAGCGGAGTATGAAAGGCATTATCTTACAAGAAACAACGGCGAAAATATTTGTTAACTTCAAATATTAACAAATATAGTACTTCAAATTTTTATAGGAAATTTTTCATTACTTTGAACCTAGAAATCTTACACGGAGAAAATATCCTTCAGAAATAAGAACAACCATTGCTTCAGACAAAAAGAAATTAAAAATTTTAACAGCAGATGTTTTAAAAAAAAAAACTAAAAGAAAAGTTCCATAGGGAAAAAGAAAATGATCCTACCAGGAAAGGTGGGAAGGCAGTATAAAACCAAGAGATACTAAAAGGACAAACGTATGGGCAAATCTAAATAAATACTAACCCTATGAGTAATGATAAGGTCCAGTGAGTATTAATGCATATGTAAATGAAAATGCAAAATAATATAAAAAGCTTGAGAAAAGCAAATTGAGTTTAGATGTCCTAAGTTCTTAGGATTATTAGAAAAAAAGTAAAAGTGTTTTCAATGAGATTGTAATAAACCGATGATGCATATTGTAATCTCTAGGACAACCACTAAAAGAACAAGATTATCATACTGGGTAAAATAATAAAATTAGAGATGAATCTTTAATGTCAGGACACAGAAATACTGAAAATAATGGTAAATATGTTATACTAGTACACATGTGCACAAACACAGGAAATATTATTAGAGGTACCAACATTAAAATATGCAAAGTATAAACACAACTATACATAATTTTTAACAGCTAAACCCCATAAAAAGACAACTCTACTACCACAATGGAATGGGAAAGTTCCTAATTGCTAGCAAAAGCACATTAAAAAGCACTCAGGATACAAACCATGACAATATTACAAGGTGCAATAAACCTACAAAGAAAACTGTCAACCATATCCCATCAAGTGACTACAGGCAGTTATCTAAAACTGACTATAAGCTGAATCAATCAAGCCCCATTAAAAACACCCAAAAATGCTCAGAGTACGTTACCCAGCCTAAATGTAATCAACCAGAAAATTAACTTCAAGCTGGTGAGATGGCTCAGGGCTGACAAACTGCTATCAATCTCCACAATCAATCAACATGGTGGAAGGAGAGAACCAACTCCCCTCCCCCCCCCCCCCCAATACACAGTAAATAACTGTGTCTCTTTAAGCAGAGGTGTCGAAAGTCCCTTCACCACTTTTAGATCTTAGGTGCAGAGTCGAGACTGTCAAAGATACACCTGGTTCTAGTCTAAGACATAAGCCAAAGTAAATGTACAATTTTTAAAGAATTACTATTCTTACCCTAAAACTTTAAAGGTTACTAATTATTTATAAATTAAGTATTTCTGTACTTGTTAATAACTTGTTAATGCAAAGAAGCAAATCAAAAAGTTGCAGATTGTCTATCAATTTTGACTTACAGATACTAAGAGAGAAATCTGTAATATTAAAAAAATAAATAAATAAAGGCTGAAAGCAATAAAGTTTCTACCTCAAGAAACTTTTCTCAGGAAAAGTTAACCTGAGAAGGTAGAAAAGAAATACTGAAGAATGGGATTGAGGAAATCAGAATCGAAAGTATAATATTGAGTTCTCATACTAATGAACCTGATAGACTGTAGCTGAGCAACTGTAGACTGAACAAATAAAGATTGATTTCAGTCATGAGAATGGGGTTCTCTATGACAATAAACTAAAAAGAGATGTTTCTTACTTGATGGAAGTAAGTCAACAGAATATCTACTTTTAAAGTTAATCTTGATCATTTCCTTGTTCCAAAAAACTATTCCATATGTATATCAAATCTAAAAAGTGGAAGATAAAATAAAGCTTCTAATGAAAAAGAAAGCAATGTGGAAAGTATATGTATATGGTTAAGTATACGCAAGGATTTCTTACACGTGACCCTCAAAACACATCAAACATAAAGAGGAAAGTTAATCTATTAAAATTAAGAATATTCACCAACACAGCAGTTTATTCCTCTAAAACTAAAGTATTTATAACTGTCCTACTGATAACAGTTCCTATGTTCAAAGGAGAAAAAAACAAAAAACAAAACAAACAGCATAATTTATTGGTATCACTGTCTCTAACATAATGCTAACATTATTCACTTGCATAGTTGAGATTCATTTATTCTTTTGACATTTGTACAGGTTTCCAGTCCTGTGGCGGCAGTTCACAGGAGCATCACTACAATTTCCAGTAGTATCAGACAGTGGTAGGCACTTCTCTTCTTCCACAGGAACACATAAATACATACAATGCTCACTTTGGTAACACATACACTAAAAACTGGAATGGCAC